AATATTCCTAGAAATTAAATATGTACATGGCAAAACGACGTTTGCCGGGTTGCTTATCTACCGATACTATAAGCCCCCAAAAACATGTTCTTGAGCACTCGCAAAATTGTTACTTAATAGAAAATTGATTCATGATTTAGTCATCATTCATTTGTTTTTTTCTGTTTGCGTCACTCATTTTACAAAATGGAAAACTTAGGCTATGTTCACATGTAACGCGCGTTAACGCGCGTCAACGCGCGATCAAATTTGAAGAGCGTTCAGATGATGAGCGCTAACGCGCGTTGCGAGAGTACTCGTCAGTCTAGTTCGGTAGAACGTAGAAAATGGACGTGGAAGAGGCTATTATTTTGTGGTTATATTATAAAGAAAAATATAGAAAAAGAAAACGTACACATTGGGTTTATCCAATTTTGAAAAAAAATACAATTTATATTATATTTTTTATACAAATTTGCTATATTCCAACTTGCTGACCTTTTTTCTACTTCATCGATTAGTAAGTCGATGTCAATATCTTCAATTTCACTCATTTTAAAAGCGAGAACAAAATATAATTACGAAAATTAATAAAATTACATGCGATCGCGATGAAAGCGCGCGCTCATCTGAACAGCAAACGGACATTACATTAATATCAAAGCGCGCGTCAACGCGCGATCACCTGCGTCTAGAGACTTTTTCTCTGAGCGCCGCGTTGACGCGCGTTAACGCGCGTACATGTGAACAGTTGTATGAAAAATACCATAATCTCTAGTCGCGCGAAACGCGCGTCAAGTTTTTGCCATCTGAACATAGCCTTAAAGTATCGCATTATTTACGAGTACGAGTTCCGCCGTGGCACTAGTGCTGCGGAAATGACTCGAAGGGTGAATGATGTGTATGGCGGTCATGTTGCAAAAGAAAACACAGTTCGTTTTTGGTTCCAACGTTTTCGTTCTGGAAATTTCGACCTGCAGAACAAGCCCCGTGGACGGCCTGAGACCCAAGTTGATAATGAAGTATTGAAGGCTATTGTGGAAGCGGATCCATCGCAAACCACGTCCGAGTTAGCTGCAGGCTGCGGTGTTAGTGATAAAACTGTTTTAATTCACTTGAAGCAAATTGGGAAGATTAAAAAGCTTGAAAGATGGGTACCTCACGAATTGACTGAAGCAAACCGGCAAACGCGCGTCGACTGCCGCGTTACATTACTGAACCGGCACAATAATGAAGGTATTTTAAACCGAATCATTACCTGTGATGAAAAATGGATTCTTTACGATAATCGAAAGCGCTCAGCGCAATGGTTGGATCCTGGCCAGCCAGCCAAATCCTGCCCCAAGCGAAAATTAACCCCAAAAAAGTTACTTGTAAGCGTTTGGTGGACTAGTGCCGGTATTGTTCATTGCAGTTTTCTCAAATCTGGCCAGACTATTACGGCTGATGTCTATTGTCAGCAATTGCAAACCATGATGAAAAAGCTAGCGGCTGGTCAACCGCTCCACGCCACTGTTACTTCACGAAAACGCTAGACCACACACTGCACAACAGACGGCTTCCAAATTAGAAGAGCTTCAATTGGAATGTCTAATACGCGTTGCAGACCAAGAGCTAAGCTACGTTAGTTTAGCTTAGCTCGCATAGTTGACCCAATTTTCCATACGTCTGTGCAGACCGCAAACTATGCGAACTAAGCTATGAGAGCTAACTAAAATATGCGAAGCTAAGTTAGTTGTGTATGCCGATGCGCAGCTACACGAGCTAAGCTAAGCCCCTCCCGCTACCCCGCACACCCTTTGCACATAGTATGCAACACTGACTGAGCTTTGGGTTAGCTGTTGATGTGCACGCTATTTATTTCTAGCTTAGCTTAGCCTAGCTTGCTTGGCATAGCTTAGTTTAGCCTTGGCATAGCTTAGTTTTCGGTCTGCAACCGGCTTAAGACATCCTCCGTACTCCCCGGACCTTGCTCCAACAGATTGCCATTTTTTTCGAAATTTGGAAAACTTCTTGCAAGGGAAAAATTTAACTCTGATGGGGCAGTCCAAATCGCCTTCACAGATTTTATTGATTCCCGTCCGACTGGTTTTTTTAGTAAAGGGATCAATGAACTACCTATGAGATGGCAAAAGTGCATAGAAAACAATGGTTCATACTTTGATTAATTAAATATATTATATTTAAAAATATTCGACTTTTTGTTCCTCCCATACAAAAGGCCAATTTCATATGTAAGGACCTAATATATAAAAAAGGTTGGAAAACACTGGTTTAGAATGAGTCTCAATGTTATACCAGGGTAAATAAGGACGGGAATAAAACACAGTGAGCAATTCATTTAATATTCATAATATGAGAAACGGAATTTTAATTTATATTTAAGAAAATAAATTAATAAAACATACAAATAACTAGATTTAAATATATAGTATACGTTAAAAACATTATTAATAGTTCAGTCTTTTTATATTGGCAAAACAGGGTCAATAAGCAGGACAAACAGATGAATTAAGGAATAATTAGCTTGGAGAAATTTTTGCGTTTGTAGTAGTGTATGGTCAGCAAATAAAAAAAAAAACAACATTTTATTTTTAGTTTTTATTTTTTTAAAGGTAATATACGTTTGTGGCTGGAGCACACCAAATGCGTACACGTCTACGCATACGCACTACGTACTAATACGGACGTGAAAATGTGTATCCACTGCATTGTAATCTATGGAACTGTATGAGGCAGATAAGCCAGTTCCAAATATTACAAGCAGTGAATGCCGGTTTTCACTTCAGTGAAGACGTGTATGAATTAGGTGTTCTCCGGCCATAAATGTTTTATTCTAATAATTCATCAACCCCAGGCATATCACAATCATCCCCATCCTCGCTTTCATCAGATGAATTATTTAAATTAATTATGATTCGTTCTGATATTGTGTCTAAAGCTGCGTCTCTACCCTGATATTTGTTTTCCTCCTCAATAGCATGCAGACAAACTTTTCTCCATTCCTCTACAGTTATGGCGTTCATTTTTTCTTCAGCTAATGACATTATAACCTTCATATTCATTGCGACATTCTTTTTTTGCGACATATGTTTTCACTATCCCCCATATATTTTCTATAGGATTAAACTCCGGATGGTATGGTGGTAAACGCAGCACAGTATGACCGTGCTGTCGTAATATTTCGTCTATCTTGTACTCTACAAATCTCGCCTTGTTTTGCAGAATCAGTTCATATAATTGAGGCTTAAGCAACGTGGATGAATGCTCAATGTTTCGCAATGTCAGCCAGTCAATCATTTGCTGTTTTCTAGAATTACTATTCGGTGCAGGATTTTGTATTGAGTTATGATATGGTGCGTTGTCAACAACAACAACACTATTTGGTTGTAAGTTGGGTATTAATTGAGTTTGAATCCACCTTGAATAGTTGTCATAGTTCATATTGTCGTGGTAATCTCCACTTTTTTGGTTGGCTTTAAACATAAGCAATGCATTTGGTATAAAGCCATCCATACCACCGGCATGAACAATGATTAAGCGGTTGCCTTTCGATATATGTTGCTTCAAACCTGAAGTGCTTCCATCTGACCAAGATTTCGAGAGGGTATGTGATGTATGTATATATGTTTCGTCGGTGTAAACAATTGGTCGGCGTTGTTCACGATATTCAGCAATTTTCATCAAATAATTAATTCGCAAGTATCTAATTTCGTGTTTTTCCATAAGAAGTTTCCGGTTATCTTCTGTTTGCTTCCAATTAAAACCTAATGACATGACGTGTTTTCGTAACGTGCTGACACAACCTTTATAATCGATATCTTCTTTTAATTTTGCGTGCAAAGTTTTCAAAGTGGGAATTTCTTTATTTGTGATGTGGAAGTCATGAATTGTTCTTCTGATAACTTGCTGATCAAAGTTATCGATTACTATTGTAGGTTTACGATTCGGTTTCTTTTTAGGAGATTTAAATGTTACTTCCTGATCTGAAGGTCGACATTTGCTTTCTGATACTACCTTTCTGACGGATGCTATTGAAATTCCCGTTGATTTAGCAACTAATTGAGTGGGAGTCATAATACTGCTCGGGTTGTTATTACACTCATTTTCGAAATATTTGTACAAACAGTACAAAACTTCTTTAGTTTGAGAAGTCAAAGGCTTGCCTCGACCATGTTTTAACACTGGAGCCATTTTTAATTAACAATATAAAGTTGCAACACTTACACACAAATTAAACACTTCAACAAATATTATAACAATAATAACAAACAATAACAACAATCAACAAATACAAAATTTAACAATTAACGTAATAATTATAATTTTTGAATGAAATGTGTGGTTTATGTTCTAACAGTACCAAGCGACTGACGCCGGACTGCACGTGGCACCTGCGGACAGCGTAAACTGGTTTATTCTGGTTTTGTGCGTGTTTCCACTTTCCACTATCAAGTGACGATTTTTTGCTTTAGATTGAAATATCTCGGAAACGGTGCGTCCTAGGCCAAAAATAAATTTTGACCCCCCGTAGACCCCCCGGAGTTTTAAAAACCTAGATGAAAGGAAAAAAAATATATATCGGTCTCTCCTCTTTGAAGTTTCACTTCTATCGTGTGTGAATCGCGCACACACCTTTTTTTATAAAGTCAAAACCTTTTTTTTAAATAAAAACTTGTTTTTATTGATAACAAAAATCAGAGTGTTGCTAGGGATAAGTATAATATTAAATAGTAATGTTAGGATATCGAAACATTTTTGTATAGGCCAGAACGATATAGTGGAAACGCGCTCTAAGATCTGAGTAATATACACACCACTACATATGCAAAAATTTCTCGAGACTAATTTCACTGTAAGGAATAATTTAATAAATTGCGTACGTTAAAAAATTAAAAACAAGTATACGTATCCGTACGCACAATGTGTACGTAAAAGAATAAACATTCATTTAAATATTTTATGCAGTCGTTCCACAATAAAATTAAAATCACTAAATCGGTATAATTGTACTGAATAAATCAAGTTTGTAAAATATTGTACGTATACGTGAGAAGTTGCAACGCCCTCTGCGCCGCGACGTCATTGCTCCTCTGCAGTCTTTGCATCGTGGTCTGGACTGCCGTGGTGATACCAGAACTCCGAAGGACTAATTTGGCCTGAAATAAAATGTATATTTTTATAAATTTCAAAAAGGAGGTTATCAGTTTCACCCGAAGTATGTGATTTTTTTAAGATTAAGTATGTCCACAAATTTCTCAGACATATGGAGATTATGTTGTTTTATCCAAATCAGTTAAGTTGTTTTTGAGATATCCACGCATTTCTGGACAGTGTTAACTGACTGAATTTAAGAAAAAACGGAGGCAAAAAAATTTTTTGTTGTCTTTCATTTTTTAAATATTAGTTAGAACTATATTTGAACATACAAAATGCGTCGAATTCATAACCGGTTAACCGGTTTTTTAATGTAACCGACTTCAATAAAAATAATTAATAAAATAGTTGACTAATATTGGTGGTGTACCCGATGGTTATTAGCAGCAAGGGCCCATACAGCACGGCTGGCAGACACTATCTCGGATGTGTCGCCGGTCAACAGCGAGCCTGACAATACTTCTAGAAGATCCGCTGGAACAAAATTATTTTATAAAAAATTCAGTCTCTTAGATTCAGTTTTGAAGTCGTTATATTATGAAGAGAACATTATACATACGCGATTGAAGAAATGCCAATCTCTGATGATGAGCAGCGTGAGCCAGGGAAGTGAGTAATGGGCGTGGTATGGGCCTGAGTGTTGGCGAAGACAGCACGTTAATTAGAGCCGACGCCCCATCCGCGTGTCGGCTCAGAGCCTCACACAGTTTGTACCACGCTTCGGTGTACGAGTCGTTATTGCGTGCACGTAATTTGCAGGCGCAGGATATTACGTCAGTCTGAAAAAAAATTGTCTTTGTTAAGTTAGATAATTTACGTATAGTTTTATTATAATATAATATTATATATATGGATACCGCCACCGATGGACACTCGATGCCAGAAGGCTCGGGAGTGCATTGCTGGCTTTTTGATAACTGGTACGCTCTTTTCTTGAAGGACCCTAATTTTAAGTTTTCTTGAAGAAGGCTAATTTAGACTTTCCCTCCAGATGACCACGAAACTGAACGTTCGATATGTCGACGCCCAGTACCCCAAGGCTGGTTGTGGCTTAAGGGGAATGTCTTTGAAGAGAGGAAGAGCGATGAAGGTTATCTATTAACCATTAGCTTCTTTTATTCACAAAGTTTTAAGCTAAGCCAAAACAACATGCCTTACATTTGAAAATATTGACTTAGACTTAAATAAACTATTGAGAAGCGGACGGTTTTGAAAAATAATTAACTATTAAGTTTTGTATAATCAGTGGCGCTATATGATTGGCCTTTTGGCCTCAGATTATATCAGTATTGACCATTATATATATACAAGTAGGTTATCAGTCTTCTAACACATGTTTTTAGGTTATGGCCTAGGTTAATTACGTATATAGAAAGGAAATTTATTAGTTCCCAGGATAACATCTCTGTATCAAAAAGATAAATAAGATTGTAACGGCCATTTTAGGAACAGACTTTGACCCCCACAAATTCGCAAGTATGATTGTTTAATACTGTCTTTATATTTGCTGCACTCATTGCATATATGCTAGGCAGTGAAGCGGCCAGATTGTTAGACATCATTAATCTTAGAGTATGGATTAATACAAATAAACATTATATATAGATTATTTCCTTACGTATGTTTGAACCTTTTTGAATATATTATGTATTCTATCTTTGGCTATATATTAAGTATTTTTTTGTTATATAATGTATGTTAGCTGTAGGATTACGAAATAAATAAGTAAAGATTGATTTATAAGTTCTTAAACAACATGCATGCTTAATAATACAATAAAATATAACGACACATTTTACATTTTTACATCACTGATATTAGAACATAAATTACAAACTAGCAAGGATAAACACAATCAAACAGTAAAAGCTAAAACTAAATAGAAACTTAAACCTCACTACGAGCGACACATTAATGTAAGTAATTTAAGTTGTAATAGAGGTAGACTATTCACTGGACCATTAAACGTAGCACATAAGCGAGCCAAAGGTACGTATAGAAGACTTTTAGTTATTTCGTTCTAGTAGAATTTCGAACTTTTAGTTCTAGTAGGATTACTGACTTTTATTTCTAGTAGGATTACTGACTTTTAGTTCTAGTAGAATTTCGAACTTTTATTTCTAGTAGGATTACTGACTTTTATTTCTAGTAGAATTTCGAACTTTTATTTCTATTAGGATTACTGACTTTTAGTTCTAGTAGAATTTCGAACTTTTAGTTCTAGTAGGATTACTGACTTTTAGTTCTAGTAGGATTACTGACTTTTATTTCTAGTAGGATTACTGACTTTTAGTTCTAGTAGAATTTCTAATTTTTATTTCTAGTAGGATTACTGACTTTTATTTCTAGTAGGATTACTGACTTTTAGTTCTAGTAGAATTTCGAACTTTTAGTTCTAACAAAGAAAGGTAACTTTTGACCAAAATCTACCTTTAGTAAATGGAACATAAATAGAAATCACAGTACCTTGAGTATAAGAGACCGACAGTGCTGGTTCGGCGTGCAATGCGTGAGCACTCGCAAGGCGAGAGGCAACAGATGCGAGGCACGAGGCCGCGAAGCCTCACGACTCACCAGCGCACACACTTCGCTCGCGAGGCTATGCCCGGACACGCAGGCGCACATCGCGCTCCAGCCTATAATGACAAATAAATAATACAATTTCATCCACCTAAATGGGGCTGTCCCTTTGCAATGATGGGCGTTTCAAACGTTACCAAGTTGTTACAATCTATGGTACTACTTATATATTAATATCAGAGCAATTGCGCTAGCGTCAGCTGTCAAAAGTCAAAATAATTTATTCATGTAGGTAATGTACACTTATGAACGTCAAAAAAGAAATATATATGAAATGCTTCTAATTTTACATTTACTGCCAGTTCTCAAATCAAGGGCGTAGAACGGAAGAGAAGAACTTCTCTGTCTGTCTGTGTCAACTGTTAAATTATATTATATATATATACATATATATATACATATATATATACATAGATTACTAGATTTAATCCAAATTACGAAATGAATATAAGAATATTTGAAAACCATTCGTCGCAATTACGGCTCGTATTTCGAAACCTACCTTTCGGATTGTCATTAGTAAATGTAAGGAGCAAGTGCATGATTGTATCCCTCAACGGTTCCGTCATCATGTACCAGGGCCACAGCTTGTTGTGAGAGGTCACGTCTTCGGAAAAACACTCCTTACACGGGGCACAGTCTAGCATCGAACTATTGGCCAACGTCAGAACCCAATAGAGGTTGTTTAGTATTGGCTCCTGAAAGGTTAAAAATAATTTGGTAATTTATCAATTAAAAAGGTGTAATTTATTTCAAACCCCATACTTTCGGTTATTACGGTAAAATTATTTGTACGTCTAATACAATTGATATTTCAAAATTATTTCTCATTATTGATCCCATTATCAATGATCATACATAACCAGAAATTTGTGCCCATATAAAAAACTACTGAAGCGAAATTAAAACTTGCACAAAATAAATAGAAATAAACTTGGATTAAATAATACAAAAGAAAAACGGCTCAAATGCTGAATATATATATATAACAGAAAATTTAAATTCCTTGGAGTAGATATACTATGAAGGGGGTTCTTAAAATTGTATCTTATATGTATATACAAGTAACAAATATATTTATTGGTTAATTGTATAATCATATTGTTAATTTTCTTTTTTATCTTCATATGGCGTTTCTAGTAATTTTGTAGACAAACAAACATAAACATCCAATTAAAGTAATATCAGATTCATATTGTACTGATGGCCTTCTTTTGGATGTAACCAAAACCAAATCTTGAAGCAATCAATAAAAAAAACATCAGCACTCACCGAATTAGCATTCCGAATGACATCTACAGGTTTCCCCTGCAAGGACAGTTTATCCCTGAAAGCCTGAAGAGCAAGGTTCAGCACTCTGGGAAATTGGCGATGAACCGCGTACATACGACTGCGAGGACTGACAGACAGTAGTGACGCCATACAGGAACATAGGGAGGACCAGGTGTCGTCTGAAAGGAGAGATTCATGATTTCGTTTACTGTATTAGCTAGATTGTAATCTATATAAATCTACTCTTAAACGGCTGGACCGAGTTTAATGGATTTATTTAAGACAGCCATGTCCGCTGGCATATATATTGATACAAATACTATTATTTGTTTATTTTAAAAAGGCACACGAAGCACATACAAACACTCACAGAGAACACACGACATACAAAAACTCAATACATATATGTGCATCAAAGACAAGTGTGCACCAACACTACAATGATAAAAGAGAAAAAAACGACGGGTTGCACTCCGGGAGTGCCGGCAGAAGTGAAAACTTGAATATAACGGTGTGCATTTTTGATATTTTGGAATGGTTAGGGAATAATTTTTGCACGAATTGCTTTAATTATCAGTATAAAAGTAATATTATTTATGTGGTAGAATACAATATTTATTTATTGCGCTATCGTACACAAACATGACAATTTATATTACATTAAATACGTCTTACGAATTTTCGATCAGGTCACGTGTCCTGACGCGAGTTTAACATTTTTACCCATTCCAAAAAAAAGTGTACAACGCCGCTAAAGAAGTTTTCACTTCAAAAATGTTACAATAAAAATAGAAGACAAACTAGATTAAAAAATACAAAATTTAATATATTTATACTTTGCAATTGTTATTATTGGTAACGGATAAACAGTGGCTGCAGCATCTTACGCCTGATGACATGGAGACTGTCATTAAATGGATCTGCTTCGCATGTACTCAAAGCGTCAACTGCAGATAGAGATCTGTGTAGAGTCTGGCCGAACGTAGAAAAGGACTGATGTGTTTCTTGTCTTTCTCTTTAAGAGGAATTTCACTTGACTTCAAACTTTGAGTGTTGTATAACTTTCGTGTATTAAAATTTATTGTAACCACAGGGACACACTATACTAAAGTTTAGCTGTCTCTTAAAGAGGGAGATGGCTATTGCTCCATAATCACCGAATGGCGATGATGAGGCGCCGGTAATACGGAATACATACCCTGTCTCGTCAAAAAGTTTTTCTTCTCCAAATGTTCCTTGAAGATCTCCATCAATATCTTGCACAATTCCTCAACTATGTACTCCGGTTGACAATCACTCGAACCGACGTTACCCGACCGCACGTTGTCTATGAATGTATGTTTGTTTTCTTTGCGAATCGATTGCGCCAATTGGGTTAAGCAAAACATCGCCGTTGACTGCAATTCTGCAAATATCATTTAGCATTTTAGCTGGTTATTTAAATCTAAACAGTAATATTGGGAGACGCGAAGCCTTTTAAATAAAGAAAGTCTGTTTATGAAAGGGGAGATTTGACACTCCGCTACAGCTTCTCGGCCACAGATCTGCCCGATCGCGTGCCTGATGCGAAAAATTTGAAAAATACTATTGAATGAAAAAATTGAATGAAAATAAACCAGTTCTAATTTAAAAAGTTTACAGACCATTTAATATATACAGGTTGTCTCAAAAAGAGTGTCAAGCTAAGCTCAGCTGGTCCAGAGATGGAGCACCCTTAGAGGAACCCGAATAACCCCTGCGTATCTTTAAAAATAATAAAGATAAACAATTGTTTCTCTTCTCTCTTATTGTCTTCTTTAGTTTTAGGAAGATCTTCGAATAATAATTTAGGTATGTAACAAGAGTGATAGTTAAATTAAATTTACAATTCGGATTCCTCTAAGGATTCATCTCTGGACCACCGCTTGGTACTCATTTTTGGGCTGATATAATAGAACTGGTGTCTGTAATAATCAATCGGTATCTAATGTTAACAGCAGGGCTACTCTGTAAATCGATTGGGTTATCTAAATTTGTTACTGAGGCTAGACAAAATATAAAAAATGTTATTGCTCCTGAAGATTTTTTATTAGAGAAATGAATAGACGTTTGCCACAATCCCAGCTGAAGTTAAATGAGATGCGGCCTATTGAAGACCTGCGAAGGACTCCTGAAGTCACGGGTTAATCCTGCGGTTCTGAGGTCTGAGATATCGAGAATAGATCTCAGTTTAGATGAATCATAAATAAAATTACCTATATCATCACTTTCCATGAACTGCAAAAGCATTTCAAATAATAAATTCGAGTTGTTTTTCTTCAATTCCCACCATAAGGTGTCGCTAGCTGATGTATCGTTTAGTAAATATCCCAGTAGTAGCGTAGCCTGCGTGCGCGCAAAAATTTGGTTATCAGCTGAAAATATATTTAAAAATCTATACATAATGGAATAACATATTTACAATTTTCTTAACCTACATAGGAATAACAAAAATTAATAAAAAGAAAATTAAAACAAATTTAAAAAGTTTGGTCCCTGTTGCAGTGTACCTTTTGCTGGCAGCATTTCCTCGTTGTATTGCGATACTTATCCGTTGAGCGAGGAAACCACCAGCTCTGGGGTCACCGGTACTATCTACCAGGCGCCAACTTAAATCTTTAATTAGCCCTTGTGCACTTGAACCCCACAGCCCAAGTCTCTACTCCAAAAAGAACAAGATCGAAGTTGGAGGAAAGACTCTTATATTTGAGCCGTTTATTATTTTCCGCCTGCTTTGCGGCCGCCCCAGCTTTTTTGCTTGTCCGGAGGTGAGACAGAGCAAACGTGTCCACAAAAGTAGCATCCCATACCGAAGCCCGTACTATCTTACAAGGGACATCCCATCCGGCCGCTTGCCATCGTCTCTTGTGATGAGTTTACAACTTGGTACAATCTAGATATGCTAAATTATCGATAAACGACTCTGATGATATGCATTTATACAATTCAGTTTAACACCTGACACCTGAGATAATTTATAAGTGATTACAACTTATCTATCAAATACTTTAATTAATACTTAAATCTCTGATAAAATTCCAATACAACGATTCACTTATTCTTTGACCGATATTTTTATTTAATATCTATAAAAATATTTTTATATTAATATAGATTGGCATGAGTTATGTAAAATTAGTAAAGTTACATACATATATTTAAGTTAATAATTAGAAGCTTAAACCAAATGTTAGCAATAATCGCACTTTTGAAGTCAAAATGAGCCCTTTAGCTTTTCCCACACTCATAAATTGTAATATCACATTCTCGTTTCTGATAACGTCCAATAGGTCGACTTATATTCTTTATAGGTAACACAAGTGTCACTTAGATTTAAGAACCCTTAAATAACTCAAGTTAGTTTTTTGTTAGCGTCGCAACCCCACCCACCACTCCTAATTTTATGTTAAAAGCTCATGTTTTAAACCATTAAAGACAGTTAACACTTAGCTTCAAATAAAGAGTTTCATTTATTTGAACATCCCTACATTAACCGCCACCGAACTTAACTCATTAAAATATTAAAAAAATCAGGACTAGATTACCATCTATTCTAGGTGACATGTTTTCTTTCTTAATAAATTATATATAATCAGCATTCGTAATTAAAACGAATCGAAAACTAACCTTCAATCGGTCGCAAAGTGTCAATCAGGTTATGTAAGCAGTCCTTAGTGGAGGCTAGAAGTGCGCGTACGCACTTATGTCTCACTGCGACGCATAGAGTGCGACAGATGCTACCGCTGATGCTGTCCTGCTCTAACATACCCTCTGACCGGCTTAAACATCTGTTAAATTGATACAATTTTAAACTGTCACTATGTTTTATTTAAATTCGATTTTCTAACAGTTGTTTGGTTAAGCAGTGTTGGCCTAGTGTCTTCAGCGTGCGACTCGCATCCCTCAGGTCGTAAGTTCGATCCTCGGCTGTGCACCAATGGCCTTTCTTACTATGTGCGCATTTAACATTCGCTTAAACGGTAGAGAAAACCATAATCAGGAAAGCGGCTTGCCTTAGCCAAAAAGTGACGGAGTGTTTCAGGCACGGAGGCTGATCACCTACTTGCCTATTAGATTAACAAATTATCATGAAACTGATACAGATATCTGAAGAGCAGACCTATGGTTTGACGCGACAGATTTTTTTTAACAGTTGGTAAATGTGTTTGACAGACGCATTTGTGTATCTGTAAATATGACCCTACATATGGATGTCAAACATGAGCACGGAACCACACGGAACAGTGGCATGTTGGAAGTCACTTAAAAGATCACGTAGGGGCAGACAAGAAAGAATACAAATGTGGAAGATGTTTACAGAAAATAAGACGAGAAGGGGCACATGACCAGAGCAAATCGTGAGAAATGGTATTCACTACTGAATGGCTGCCCCGAGGTTGGAAAAGAAAAAGAGATAGACAGCTCAGGCGATGAAGGGATGATCTGCATACCAGCGGGGGCTATACGTCACAGTAGCACGGGATAGAAGTAAGAGGGAGAGGTAAGAGGAGAGAGGTAGAAGAGGCCTATGTGACCCAGGACACACTGTCGACTAAATATTATGTAAAGTTATAGATCACTGCCGTGTAATGCTAAGGGGAAGGTGAATAAATTTTTAAAGGCAAGGTAGCCTTTATAGCTTGGGCGAGTATTTGGACCAGTTTTGACAAAAAATTATTATAAATAGCTTAACTTATTATTATGACATTGTGTTGATGTTCTTATTATATGACTTAGTGAAAATTACTGTAGGCTGATTTTTATTTTATTTATTTATTTATTTATTCCATATCCTTATTCTATCTTTACAGTACCTAATTACTAATTCGACACAATATTTACACCCACACCAATTAACCTAGATAAAAAACATTAAGAAATATATATATATATACCTAAATATTATAACTAATAATATAGGAAGCAACTCTTGTGAACTCAGCCAGTGTACAAACAAACAGGTCTACCTCAACAGAAATCCTATTTATTATAATTATTGCTCACGTGAGTGGTGCTTCGCTAACCAAGTTAGAATGTGCGCGCGGTACATCCAAAAGTTGAGACTTCCGCCTCAGGTTTCTACTTGGTACCCGTAGACTCAGTCTCTCCATTATGTCCAGATTATGAACCCGACCCGTAAGTATCTTAAATACATACACCGACAAGGCTAGCTCTCTTCTGAGGCGTAGCTGGTCATAGCCCACCATACCCAGACCAAACAGGGTCGGGTACATAAGCGGATACAATGGATACACTCCATACAGTCTCTTGTAGAGATAACGGGTGAATTTATTTTGTATTCGCTCTAACATGAGACTGTATTTAGCCTCAAACGGAGCCCACACCATTGCATTGCACTCCAAGTGACTTCTGACTAATGCATTGTATAAAATTTTAATCGCACTGATATTTGTGAAGCCACAAGCTGTTCGTAATATGAACCCCAAATTTCTGTATGCCTTTATGCATGTCTTCTCGACGTGTTGCGCAAACCCAAGATTGGCATTAAAATATACACCCAGATCTTTGACCTCTGCTATGCTACTTCGCCATAGCTATGCCACGCACATACGGTACCTCGGAAACCCTGCGTTTGATTAAATATAAATGTAGGGAAGTTATCTTACATATATTTACGTTCACCAATATAAACTTAACAATTCTTTACATCTCTTTCTCATCAGTCAATTATTACGAATAGTGATTTTAAAATATACAAACCGAAACATCACCCGATATAAACCCCGTTCATTCCAACTTTGTATAGGACTATTCTTCAACATTGAAACGTTGGTGAACACATCGGCGATAGCTGTAATTAGATCGCCAGTCGGTGGCGGCTTTTCAAACTCATGGGTTGGTGACACGCAGACGTCTTGGCTCTTTTGACTGCGCACTTCCAGTTCCGATCTCTTTTCTAATAAAGCGAGTGGCATGTTTGGTTCTAGAAAAAAATTGTTGATTAAATTTACTAATATACGCAATACGAATTGTTTATAATTTTTTTTAAACTTCTTAGATAGCATTATTACACATTTACACTGGATCTCTCGTAGGTGTAAATGTGTAATAACTTTTAACAGGTAAGCGTTTATAGCTGTTAAATTAGTGTGATGTAGTTTAGGTTTTTATCTTTAGTGTTTGACAATTAACTTTAAAAATATTTTAATTTACAATGGACTTATAATACAAATCTCATTTAAACAAGAGCCATGTTGGTTCAAATCACTGCGATTCATAAATGAATTATGTTTAACACTCGCTCTGCCTTAGACACAAAAGTTCAACAGCATGTGTCAGGCACAGAAGGTTGAACACATTCATTACAATAATATTATGGGCTAAAAAGAATTAGCTACTTAAATTAATTAAAATTGTAAATTCAAACGAGGCAACAAGGTTTAAAATCTTAAAGACTTAGAAGAAAAATAATATACGTCGTATACAGAAATCTGAGGCCCAGACCTAAAAGGTTGTAGCAGTGTTTAATTTTTATTTAAACTACCACTGATAAAGACAAAACAATTATTATACATACTTACCAAGATAGGATATATCGTTCGAATTACTGCTATTACAGAAGTCTATTAAAATTTGTAAACACTCTTCCACGAAACTGTAATCATCTAGGGACATCAGTAGATCCCTTTCTAACACCTGAAATCAATATACAATCTTTACATAAGGGAGTAGTAATCGCGTATGTACGTAAAAAATAATTTTACATAATATGTCGCAACATTATGATAATAATTTTACAATTTTTTCCGACCTTGGAGAGAGTGAATTTTTCCTAGGAATGGAATTTCAAATCGGTGACCCAACAAATCGGGAACAAACCCCGATATATATACATCGTTTATTTTTCATTGTATAGCAAAAGGGCAGGATGCTGGTGTTAAGTGATACCAACCCCCCATTGGCACTCACATTGCCATTACTGGCAAGTGCGTTGCCGGCCTATAAGACATGACAAGCACATATTTCCGGATTTCATAATAAACAAGATAAACGATATCCGATATCAACTTTCTAAAACTAATTTCATTTCACAGTTATTGTATCAACAGCTGAGACGTGACATGCACGACCCACAAAGACAATTCTAAATTATACCTTGTATAAAGAATAATCTGTGTAAAAAAGTCGAGGTCAAACTAAAATCATTTCTAGACAATACTACTGCGTTGTATTTACAACGACAGTGACTTGCAAATACGCCGATTGAAATATTTTATTAGAATTTATGATAATCCAGACAATGAACAATAAATAGTTTGTATGACCTCATATGTCGACAGATTTATATATTTATTAACACTTCGTTGTATGTACAGAAATATAATACAACTAGCGGCCCATCCCGCCTTCGCACATTTATTTTTTTTAAACAAATTTTGTAGATATTGTTATGTTCTTTAATATTGTGGATCATTTAGTTCTATCATCAATAGTTTTGGCAGCGCATGCGATGAAAGATATTTTATAGGCATTTTTTACACCTTGGCTATCATTATTGTAGTGGTAGATCCTTATTTTTTTTTTACAATTGAAATATTAATCAGTGATAATGTAGCATTCAAATGGTGAAAGAATTTTTAAAATCTGTCTAGTACTTTTTGGGCCAATTCGTTACAAACATACTTACATACAAATATTTCCTCTTTATAATATTAGTATAGATATAGATGGACAATATTAAATAAAAAGGACGGCAACTGGCGGCCTTATCGCTTTTGAGCGATTTCTTCCAGGCAACCACTGTGAGAAGAAAAATAAATTATATTAAGGTAAGTGTGCAAGAAGTGCTAAAATACGTACGACACATGGTACATTTATACAAAACTAATGGAACAAAACAAAGCAGTTAAAATATCGGTGTGTAAACAGCGAACACGGCAATAATAAAAAAAGGGCACATGAAAAAGAAAAAGCGCACACGATAATTTCAGATCAGTTAGTATAAAAGTTAGAGATACGATGTGGACAGGTAATATATTTCATTTATAAATACATATATTATTTAATTTTAGTAGGAAAACACCTAAAAACGCGCGCAAAAAACTTCAGCGCATCTAAATGACTATTATTAGGAACCAAAGGCTCAGTGGTTAAGCGCACACACAACACGTTCAATCCCCGGCTGCGAACAAACGGTTGTTCCTCATAAACAGATGCTTCTACAGTGAATACTTTCCACATTCTGTTTATATTACGTTCAAAAAATAAACAAATTAAAAATTCAGAATCTTTTATTACACATTAAGTACATATACATTAAGTTTTTTATATTAAGACATAATGCAACGTAAATACGCAGTTGTTATGTAAATATATATATATATATCGCCTTGAATATTGCCGTAACTGGTATTATTTATAAATGGTTCTTATTCAAGTTCTTGCTGTGAATACAAAAACTAAAACAAAAGTAGTCTCTAGGTACTTACGTGAATACGTTCGTAGCATAATATTAAGCTTCGGGTATTAATACTTTCAGAGATTATCGTGTTCTACTAAATCCTCATTTAAAAATTAGTAACGATATAAAAATGCGCATCTATACAAAACTCTACTGCCACCAGTTAATTATGGTTTTGAAACTGGGCTCTCAGCAAGAAAGACGAACTTGTTCTTCTTATTTTCAAGCGGAAGATTCTTGGAAAAATCTTTGCCTTCGCAAAAATAAATTTCGCCCTGTCTGCGATGACGGTATTTGGCGTATATGTCACCGTCAGATTGTCTGAACTGTCGAAAGATTACAATCTACCGAATAATAATACGTTAAATTGTAAGCAGTACGTTGACGTTCACAATCTTTCGACAGTTCATAATCTCGCGAGATAGATTACAATCTAACAGTGTTTACAATTTGACGGTGACATATATACAATGAAGAACTTTATAACATCCTTGACGACGCCAACATCGTCCAAGTCATAAAATGCAACAGGCTAAAATGGTTGGGACACGTGCACCGAATGGCGGACGATAAACCCCAAGATCCTTACTGATCTCTCAACCTAAAGTAGTAGTAGCAAAAGAAAACCCTGTAGAACGAGGCTGCATTGGTGGGGATGGAGTGGTAGATTGCGATGGCGAAATATAGTTGAGGAGGCTAAGAGCCTACAAGGGACTGTGTATGATGATGATGATATAAATGCGAATGGAAGACCAAGAGCATCCAATCGTAAAATCGGAATCTTTTTCACACATCTTACCTTATACTAATTATATTTGTATAGCAAATAACGTGGAATAAACATTCTAAGCAAATAACTTTGTTTGACTCAATGAATACCCTAAGTACATTGCATTAATCTTTAACTAATAAAGAAACTTATATTTATTTTTTAAATAAGTTTGAATTTATAAAATATATTCGAAATTTGAAAAGTATTTTTTCGTACCTGAGGTATCAAATATATTAGAGGCGATCGTTGCAAAAAATCTTAATTACGTACACAAATTTATGAGGAATATTCAATTGCTATTTGTGGCTTAGTACATTTACAAATAAGTATTAAGGCTGATGTACAGAGACTTCATTGTAAAACGGTCAAAGTCCCGGCTAAAACGAGGCGCGGTTCATACTAATCTCTGAAGCTATATAAATCTGTAATAATTGATTTTGTTTAGTATTTTATCAGATGTGTGAAATTTAAATTTCTAATAAACATATAATAAAGTTAATTAATTACATTATATTATAAATAATTTATTACACAATTATTATACACGTCAAAACAGCCTAAGTACAAAAAACAGCACAACGCTGTAAAATTGTTCATACAATTTCTTAAGCAGCTGATAAATACAAAAACAGCTCAAATTTAGCTTAATTCTACAATACTGTAAAGGCATGGCACTTTGTATAACTCATATTGGTTTAAATCGTAACCATATGCCACCTTTGTTTTTGAGCATAACGCTTCGTGGATCAAATTGAATAGTGGGTGTGGTTTTAGAACATGGTTCAACAACGAAGTTACTGAGGATTCCCGTGAGACCGGCTACAACTGTAAGTTGACCGAAGCGCGCTCCTGAAAGAAATTATACAGTGTTATAGTAAGTAATTCATTTATTGGAGAGGGCAGATTCGCAAAAGAATTAAATTAAAATTATTAATAAACATATAAATATATATATATATATATTACATTCCAATGCTTTTCAATAATTTCGCGTTTTAATCGGTTATATTGAAAATTGAAATCTATAATATACAAGTCTTTGTAACGAATAACCAAAAACCTACTGGATACGTTTCACAAATTCTATCCCAATTGGCCTGCCAATATATCTCATCTTAGTATTGTCTTTGATTGACATAACCTTTACACATTTAAAGAAAAAACTTTTTAACCGGATTAAAGTTATGTATTATTATAAATTTACAATTATTTAACAAAAAGCTGTGATACTTTTTGACATCCAACACCTTTTTTCTTCAGTCACCGTGACGACGCACGCTGTAAAGCACGCGAAACGTCGTATAAATTTAAAATTATGTTAAATAATTGTAAATTTATAATAATACATAACTTTATCCGGTTAAAAAGTTTTTTCTTTAAATATCTCATCTTAATATATATAAATTACGCGTCATCACTGAACTGATTTTAATCAAATTTGCACACCGTGTGCAGTTTGATCTAACTTAAAAGATAGGATAGCTTACATCTCAATTAATACCGGCAATATTATTTTATTTCAAAATATTTGTTTATTATTTGATAGTCAAAATTCTAACAGATGGCGCTGTGTTGAAAGTACCAACGTTTCATATAAGCTACAATTTAATGGTATAACCATCAAAAAAGCATGGTGGTCCCCGTGACTGGTGTTGTCATACTTTTTCCCTTGAATAGTTTGCTACTATGTAATATAACAAAAACCTTAGCCACAGCAACGCTTGGCCGGTCTGCTAGTTTATTATAAAAATAATATAAGTCATCATCATCGTACTAGTGTTAAATGCATATACGTCTATTAGTGCACGGCCGGGATTCGAAACGACGTCCGCAGATGATAGTCGCTGTTGCTACGAGGCCAACACTGCTCTATTTTGATATAATTATTTAAACAAATTTATTAACCGATTCAATAACACAATATAAATATATGATGCACTTGTTTTATCTATTTCCATTTCCTTTGTTGAAACGAACAAAGCTAACCAACCACGTACTATCAACAAATGGTTTGATATAACTACACGTTATATTAGCCGAGAAACTCATAATATGGTTCAATTTAAATAAATCGATTTGAAATTGTATGCTAACAAAAAATAATAAACTTAATCGTTACAAATAGATATATAATATATAGATCGATCAAGTAGACGTCAACGTGTGTGGAGGAAGCAGCGTGTACCTCCACTAACCACTGACTGGCCCGAATGCCTTAGTGGCTAAGGCCGATAATGTCCACATATCCTTAGAGGCCGGAATAACGTTAGCGCGTTTCAGGGTAGGACGTTTTCGAAGTGATTTGTAAGCGCAGATTGTAGAACAAAATCTACTATGGATACCACTGCTATAGGGAAAACTTCGTAACCATAGCAACTACGCGGTACTAAATTTTATCCCATGTAATAATAGGGTCCAGCAGAACACATATATGTGGGCTCAAATTAGGTGTATTTACTATATGTTTATATACATAATTAGCGAATCCATTTTTGAAATTCTGATTAAAATATAATATTGTTGCCAGATGATTTATATTATACTTCGAATGTTCTTAAACAAGAAATCTTTTCAATTCACTTGAGATAAATCGAATTGATAGCTCTATCTTCGAATGTAAACAAGGCTGACTTTCACACTTGTACGCTCTGAGATTAACCTCAACGATACTGCGTACACTGAGTAATTTATCATGCTGAAATTTCAAACGAATACATATAAAAGATTTATGTATACCAATATTAGAAGATTTGTAGCATATTATTATCAATGTGAATTTGTTATAGTTGGTTATTATTAGTTACCTTTTAAAATTACGCGAATCTGCCCAAAAATAAATTGACATACACTTACCGGGACAACTTCTTGGTCCATCACCAAACGCTAAAAACGCTTGAGGATTTGCACCTTCGCTAAAACGTTCTGGATTGAATTTATCCGGATCGGGGAAATATCTAGCGTCCCTCTGTATACAATACAAAGGAATGAGCACTGCATCTCTCTTCTTAAAACTAAGCTCCGTTCCTTCCAGAGTGCAAGGAGTCGTACACAGTCTCGTTGTGAGAGGAGTGGGTGGATACATTCTCAAAGTCTCCATCACAGTTTGGTTCACCAGCCGCATTGCACAGACCGCATCATAATTCAAACCACTACACCTTTCCAAGCATTCTCTAATCTCAGTCCTCAGTTTAGTCTGCAAACCGAAATCTTTAGCCAGCTCATACAAACAAAATGATAACGTGGTGGCAGATGTTTCCAATCCAGCGAGCATGAAGATAAAAGAATTCGATGTTATCAGCTCATCCGTCATACAAAATTCTTTCTCTGTTTTTTGTACGTTCAACATCAGCTGCAAAAAGTCATGCCTCTGAACTCCCGTGGTGCGTCTTGTTGTCAACACTTGGTTTATGATATCAGTAAAAAACACTTCAACGTCTATCGGATATGTCTTGAGATTCAAAAACTTAAATAGCCATGGAAAAAATGTTCGACAGTATCTTTTAAGTATAGTGGAGCGATCTGTCTTAAACATTTTTTGAGACATAACTAAAAATGGCGATTCGGGATTCTTCATCGATCCAGGGTCCACGCCGAATGCACAACTGCCTATCACATCGGTGGTGAACCGGCTCATTAATTGTGGGACATTGATTTCGTCTCTCGGCTCCAGGTTCAGTGCTCCCTTGAAACCATTCGCGCATTCCGCAATCAATGGGAACATAGCTTTCATTTTTGCAGACGAAAATGATGGGGTAACTATATGTCTCATCGCTTTCCATTCAGCTCCACTCATATTTGCCAAATTTCTGAGTAGGGGTTCTCTTTTGGTGTCTGTTGAGACCGATATACGATCGCTGAAGCTCTGGAACTCTTTCGATAGCACACTTTTAACAATATCTATGTCTATCAAGAACAGTGTGGGTCTCCGAGCTTGAAAAATGCCAACATATTTCTCATTCTTATAAAAATCATAAAAATATTGTAACATGCTTGTATAGCTGCGCCTCATTGTTAGAGTTGCACCAAAATTTCCGAAAATGGGACACGGTTCTTTATAAGGCACATTTCTTAAAAACCAATACTTTCTTCCATTAGTCGTATAATGAAGAATTGTTAACAGTAACACTAAACACAGTACAATTAAAAGTAATAGAATAAAAAACGGCATTTTTATTATCACTGTTATTACACTCGACTGTTGTAAACAACGCGTGGCCGTCAAAAGCAAGAGCTGAGTCGCGGCGTCCTCGTGCGCCGACGGCGAGCGGTGAAATAAGCAGTGTCGATTGTCGGTAATCGGTAATCGGTATGCGCAAGCGTCAACAACCAAGACTACGATAAGCTTCACAGCCGGCGTGCCACACGGCCATCAAGGCCACGTAGTGTTGACGTACCCCGCCCGTGACTCGAATTTATGCCCGCATGTCGTGCGCAAGGGTGCTATTCTACAATAGACTGAATGAATATAAAGTGTTAGAGTAATCTGTGTAAAACAGATTTGCAAATAATCATTAATTTAATAAAAATCTATAATTAAACATATTGATATTTACGTCAATCATTTGACACAAATTTATCACAGCAGACATGATTTATTTTAAGCCAATAAATAATACATATAACAGAAGGAAATGTTCACGAATAATATACATATTTGTCATGATTTTAAAACCTTGTACCATACAAACTTTGTAAAAAAAATAAAAAAATAAAATAAAATAAACTCTGAATGAATCCTGTTTAATCTAGTTTTCCCCTTAATCATTATATAATTCTACTGTACGTTTGTATGTCACTGAATTCCTCTTAAACGGCTGGACCAATTTGACTGAATTGTGTTGTATACCTTTGGGTTGTTTAGATTCAAATCAGCCCGGCAGATGGCGCTGCAGTCGGCACCTTCATACTTTAATATCCTAATCGCTTGAAATATCATACAGGACAACGTGTGTCGGGTCCGCTATCGTGCCGTACCTACCGTATTATCAAAAATGTTTAAAAAGACATTATGCAGAATATACAAAGTGGGCACCATTGTTACTAAACAAATGAACACAAGAGCGCTTCAGAGAATATCAACATTGATTCAATAAATGCACCGAGCAATAACACTTAACTTGTAAAATGAGCAATTGTGTGAAATGTTAAGGAATCCCCCGAGGTTATTACTTTAAACAATTTTCCTGCTTTCAATAATAAATTAGTTTCTCGTTTACTGTAATCTCAATAAATGTAATTATAGTAATATATCAGCCGACAGCTACTCACTAACACTATGTTTCTATAAAGAACCAGTCGTAATTTCAACGAATATTTTTCTAAAGCTTTAATAGTTACGATTAGAATAGAAACCGAGCGTAATCATTTTAAGTTTATTACTAACGAAACGCACAAAATATTAATAATAGTAATAAAAAAAAATTATGAAAGTAAAAAAAAAGGAATAAGGTTCATTTTAAGTGTGTAATGTGTGTGTGTTGTGGTAGTAACTGGTCCTGGCTCAGCATTATGCTGTGGAGCAGACGTGTTCCACAGCGTTAGTCATTCTGCCAGAGACTACAACAGTTAGTTAGCGCCTCAGACGCAAATAAAGAAAAAGAACGTAATAATAATAATAGTAGTTAACCCTGTCAACTTTAACCATATCTGATATAAATTTGACTACTACATCTTAATATTTTAAAATTTACCTGAAGATTTCGCCATTTTTTATGTACTTTAGTATCAAATAAAGTATTCTTAAATATTTAAGCAGTCTTTTTATAAATTATTAAACCATAACATCGGATGTGTATGTGAACTGAGTGGACCAACGACTTAACAATTTCCATTGTTTTCCTAAACAAGAATATGTAATGAATAACATACGCGCACATATCCACAAAGCTATTTTAAACAATACTAATTACAAACTTTTTGATGTTTTTACGCATTTGGAAAATATTATTTATTCCGTAATCCTACAGGCTACAGCTAACATAAATTATATGAAACAAAAAACAATTATACTAAAGATATAGCCAAAATGGATATAAAAAAATAGAATATGTTCAAATATAATTTTAGGTCTTCAATAAATTAATAAAAGTTCCGCGGACATAATTGGTTAAGCAAGTAGATAATTACTTTGACCTTCGAACTTATTATTCCACTGAAGTAAATACCTCTGAGTAACAATACATTTATAAAAAATATTTTTATGATTACTATTAAAACCGAAATACCTAAAGATAATTCCAACAATAGTCAGACAAACAAAAGGATGTGGCGACACTTGATAATCATAAGGGCTGACACACCCGATCGAGTTAATTAAAAATACAAGTGTGATGTTTTTACTTTGCAGTAGGAGAGTTGCAGATTGGAATTCAGGAGGAAAAATAACATTAAAAGCAATAAAGAAATAATTTATAACAACGCAAAATCCTGAACGAGCTAGGTCCCATCCACAGTCGCTCCGCACACTTTGAAGTCGATTTCCAATTATAATTTAATTTTTCTTGTACTAATGTATCAGTGTGTAAAAATTTTTTTTTTTAAGATTTCGTTTTTATGAATTGAATTTATATCTGTCAGAATCGGAGACGAGACTTAGCGCTAAGTGTGACTCCTATTTGTCAACGTCATTTTATTATTTTGACTTTTCGTCCATTATTAATTTAGGAAATATTCGAAGCAATGCTAATACACTAGAATCCCGGGAGCTCATATGACTGATTCAGTCATATGAGTTATACATATATTATATAATTATACATATATATAGACATAGACATAACATAACAAAAATGTTATGTCTATGTTATGTCTATACATATATTATATAATTATACATATATATACATACATACATTATATAATTATACATATGTATAATATTATATTATCAACATAATAAACAGATCTGTTATAATATGAAAAGCCATAAGACAGACAGAAAACAGAAATACCTATTATTATTAGTTTCATTATTTTTAAAATTCATACAGTGTCAATTATTTATAACGAATTCCAAGGGACCGAGAATTTGTATTCGTTATAGAGAGGTTTCGTTCGGAAGAATTAATGTATGGGTTAAAGTTTAAACCAAATAAATTAAACTCATTTTACGTTATATAGAGTTTATCGTTATAAGCAATGACGTTATAAAGAGTTTACATTGTACTAAATTCCATACATGCCTAGATTAACCATAAAAACCATACATTCCAGCCTAACTGACGTAAGTGAATCCATAGTTATCTCCTCCGGTGGTCCCTTTATTCTGTCCACGAACGTTCGCGGTTAATATAATTTATAGATCATTACTGAACAATTCTTTAAGGCTATCAAAGCTTTGTTTTGTCGCGATTTATTATTCATGTGGTTAATAAATTAATGCGTAGGCGCACTATTGTTTAGGTTAACCGCTAAATGCATCTAACATCAGTGTTTATGGTAACAAACGGGTCGAATGTTTAAAATTAAATTAATATTTCTTTAGATATACTGTCAAAACCGTTTACGACGTCATCGTTTAGAACCAAAATTTAGTATAGACCAAAATCCTTTGATTTTGTATCTTTGCCCATGCTGAATTCTATTGTAGGTATATTAAGTTCTTAATAACAACGTCATTGGCTGTTACGACTATCGGTTTTTACGACCAAATATGAGTAGTCCCTTCGATGTCGTTATAACAGATTTTGACTGTATTTTAATATTTGTTTTATTTCGTTTCATTCCACCTCCTCTTCACACGTCAATGTCAAATGTCACAAGATCAAAGGGTTCTATAAGCTAAAGAGCCTACAAAATAAAGTCACTGAAAAGGTTAATAATATAGCCTTTTTTCCAGTATAAGGGCACACCTACTTGCTATTAAAAAAACATAAGAAAAGAAACCAGTGATAAAACAAATAAATTATTATTATTTATTTATATATATATGATAAATCTATTTATCTTTTATGCCCGAGTTTCAGATTTCTATATCATTTGTTTTTTTCTAATAAGTAGGTGTTCAGCCTTCTGTGCCTGACACTCGCCGTCGACTTGGGTCTAAGGCAAGCCGGTTTCCTCACGTTTTCCTTAAGAGGAAGAGTTAAATTCGCACATAGACCGTCCATTGGTTGGACAGCCGTGGTTCGAACCTACCAAAACAGGGATGAGAGTTGCACATGTAAGTCAACACTGTTAAAAAATGGAACGAACATAAATATACGTAAAAGTGTTTAACATAATAATACTTATTTATTAATCTAAGTAAGAGATATTTCAATACTAACTTGATTATGCGGTGAGACACGAGAGGTGACAGTCGTGAGAAGAGCCAGCGCAGACGCACGAACAACGTTTGCTTCGCCATTCTTTGCGAACACGTCCAATGCGTAGCGACATAACGACTCGTCGGGGATATCTGGAAAATATATTTCTTTTAACATATAACCTTTTATAGCTAATGGGCCTTTCAAATATTACGTAAGCACTATAGGGGGAGATGGTCTTTGATGACGTGGTTCCTCGTTACTTGATGTAGACGAAAGATCTGCTATCTTTACCAATTATGATGTAATGAACATCGTAACAAACAGTTCCAGTCGGTAGCTACAAATAGTAGGTTTGGAGACCTAATAATAATAAAGGCACGTATAATTTTCAATGAAGGCACTTGCGAGCCTTCTGGCAATCTGAGTGTCCATGGGCGGTATTACTAAACATCAGGTGAGCCTTCTGCCCGTTCGCCTCCTATTATCTTTAAAAAAATTATTACAAAAGAATACAGTTTAGATTTGTTATATAAATTTTTGTCTTGATATCCTAATATTATGTATCTTGGCTTCCTTCAGTACCGTTGATCGGAATTCCTTTACAGATAAAGGCCTCCTCCAGCTTTTTCCAAATATCTCTGTCCATGGCTTGCTTTCTCCATTCACTTCCTGCTAGCTTTGCTATCACATCTATGCACCTTTCTTTGGGGCGCCCCCTTTCATCCCCTTGGTCCTTTCCATATAGTTGTGTTTAAAGGGCACCTTTTATATGTGTATCTTGCTATATGCCCGCCCATTGCCAATTCTGTTTTAGGGTATAATGTAAGGCATCTATCACTTTTGTTTTTTGTCTTATTTTTACGCTTCTTTCCATTGCTTTCTGTCATGCTACTAGTTTGATTTTTATTTTTGTGTTGTATGTCCACGTTTAGTAGATAAGATTTAAGTGTCAAATACGAGTTTCTTTAGGTGAAGGGGAAATTGCCTTTTAAGATTTCCTTCAGGGACCAAAACTTTTTCCAGACCATGTTAATTTGAGGAATAAGAAGAATCAATTATAAAGTACGCATAAAAATGCGTTTACGCATATCGTATACATGTTCTCAATTACGTTCAGTAACCTCTTATCCACGTATTGTTATCAGTATTTACAAGTCACACATTTCAACTATAACAAAACAATAAAATATCAAAACAAATCAGCAAGTTAACGCATTTTTGTAGAATATATATTTTGTTCCCTTATCCAAAAATTGAGCCACACCTATATTTATATATTCAATTCTTAAAAGGCCGGCAACGCACTTGCGAGCCTTCTGGCAATGTGAGTGTCCATGGGCGGTATCACTTAACATCAGGTGAGCCTCCTGCCCATTTGACCCGTACTATTAAAAAAAAATAAGCTTGGTCACGTGGTATCTTAATTTTATAAGAACAGGAAGAAGAAAAAATGTTGAACGTAAGCTGTATTTTGTATCAAATATTAAAGAGACAAATATAATAGTCACTTACATTGCAATATCTGTGGTATGAGTTGCGTATAATGTGCGAGCGCGGCCGTAACTTGTAAAGCGGCTGCGCGCAACTCCGGACGTTGGGCGTCCACACATCTTATTACCGATTCGGTCAAAAAACCATCGCAGTATTCACCCCATCGCTGTAACAATTATTAAATGATCATAGCATAACGACGTTGATCTAAAATTCTAAAGCGAACCAAATGTCATAATTTTATAGATATGAGAAATATGAATATCGCCGGAGTATGTACTAAAAAGCAATTCTAATTCTTATCAACGTTATCAATCAATCAATCAAATACTATATATATATAGCAGTATATATTATTGGATTTTGTTTAGTCATAGTAATTGAGAAAAAGCGTTGCTAAACTTTCTAATAATTGTGGATTTGCTATGTATGCGTATTTGCTATATATACGAAATCCGTAAATTGAATATGATAGTTTGACTATCTCAGAATCCATAGATTAGGGAATTTTATTATAAAGGAAAAGCCCCTAAAGGCAAAGAAGCGTTGGCCAAACACAGTCCTTCGTTGTAGCGTCGGGAATCTATTCCCGTCTGTTCTTAGATGTGTTCGGATCTGTTAGTCCATGGAGTTTGTGATATCTTGAACAGATCGCTAAGATGTATAGCTTTCTTACTGAATAGGTTTTTGTTTGTAGGTGGAGTTTGACTGTGGGGTACCGTTTACTTAGGGCACGTTCCAACTAAATCAGTGAAGATTCAGCCGTTCCTTTCCATGCAGGTCGACAGTATGTTAGAATGGAGTGACAAACTGCTTCAATATTAATTAATTATTTTAATAACTCCTGCGCTAATGTGAACATTCAAAACCGTTTACGACGACATCGTTTAGAACATACCGGTTATATTGACCAAAATCAAAGGTCTGCTAATTTCTATTGTATTAGGTTCTTAATAACAACGATATCGGCTGTTACGACTATCGGTTTTTACGACCAATGAGTAGTCTCTTCGATGTCGTTATAACAGATTTTGACTGTATATACATTATACATATAGAATATAATATATAAATATGATATTTATATAAAACATATACGAAAAAAACTACAAATATAATCATAAGTGAAACGAATATGAAATATGTGTATACCAATATATACCAGTTTATTTTCATCACTGTGTGGGTTAGGTGATCATAACTATTTTCACGTAAACTAAAAATAATATACTCTATTTATAATAAAATGATAAAAAATTACAGGAAATTATCGTAAAAAGTATCAAGAGTATGGATTTTGACTTTATGAGACTCTTATCATTGCATGTTGTTTGTCATGTAGCAAGATAAAATAGATATAGTACATGACATAGATGAGATATGTTAGAAAACAGCAAGTACTGGTTAGAATTGAGAAAATAATTTTGGATAGTCCACTTATTGAGATACCTACTATACATCACGCGTTATTAACAACGGAGCATATATAGTAACATAATTAAATATCGAAGTGATATCCTCCTCTTTCGGTGTTTTTGTAGACGGTTAAAAAGTGGTAAAAACGGAAAAAATATGTTATTTAAAAATAAGGTTTTGGTGTATAGGAGGCTCATCTAAAATTGCTACAGTTGCCTATAGACTCTCACAATACTAAACAGCGAATGCGTTGCCGGCTTTTCAGGAATTTTAAACTTGCCACAAAGAACAATCTAAAATCAACATGTACAGTATTTTAACTTTGTGAATAAATTATAAGGAATAGTTAATAAGCAATTTATTTATCCTGCCGTTTATATCTAATAAATAATTAAAAAAACCTATGAGTGTGTACTTATGTACACGCGTTAAAAGTTATACTTCTTTGGCGTAACAAGAAAAAAAATCTTTTTAATTTTTTTATCTTTCGCCTTATTCTAGATTCGTTTGTAGAAAAAGTGACACTAACAATAGAAAACGGTATTTAATACATTGAAAGTTCTATTATAACGCATTATCTAGTTAAATAAAGTTTATATCACAAAAAACGTATTTCTACATAATTAAAGAAATGGACATTTTAAAATGTTGACTATGCTAACTTCAGGGTATCGGTTTTTTTTGACGGTAAAATAAAATAAATTATGTTTATTAAGTAACATAAGATATAGGTATCACTTATTCCACGTCATTAAATTTGAATCGGTAGACATCCCTACTCATCGACAAAGAAGACAGAGGGTGCAGGCCGAGAGAAAAAGCCGGAGTAAAAACTCTCGGTACTCTTTTAAAATAGCAAATCATCAAACAACACTATGCGCGCGCATCGTAAAAATTTACTCTCATCATTTTCCTCTAACGCGCCAAAAGTATAACTTCAAAAAATTTATTGCTGCGCCCTGTGATAGAATCACTAACCAATTAATATTTAACAGGAAATATCTTATACAACTGAGAGAAGAGGAACATGATCGGTCGACCATAAATGAGCTTCGTATATATACAGATGGATCCAAAACAGGGTCTGGCTCAGGCGCTGGCATATTCTCTCTTGATCTCAACATCAACATACACCTACCCTTGGGCACACAGAGCACGATCTTTCAATGTGAATGTGTCGCCTTAACCGAAGCAGCCAGAGCCGTGCAGCGGCTAGGGATTAATGACTTTTGCATTAAATTCGTATCCGACAGTGCATCCGTGCTGATGGCGCTCGGAAACAAAAAAACCAACAGCAAACTAATACTGGAGTGTCATGAAGCACTGGAGGTCATAACCCGAACCAATAGGGTTACCTTGCAGTGGATAAAGGGACACAGTGGATCTCTCGGCAATGATGCTGCGGACGAGCTTGCGAGAAGAGGCTCCGGAATGCTGCCTGCTGGCCCGTATCCGCTCCTTCCTTTGCCCTTCTCGCTGGTGCGAACCTGGATTCGCCAGAGATCCGCTGAACTCCAGCAACAACGATGGTCGCATGGTGCGGCCTGCAGACAGTCCAAAGTGGCTCTGCCAGCAGTAAACCCGCAACTGACAAAGCGACTACTAAACTTAAATAGAACCAACCTTAAAATAATGATAGGGACAATAACGGGTCATTGCCTCCTAAATAAACATCTTTTTGTCCTAGGCGCGACAGACAGCCCCCTGTGCAGAGGCTGTTTCAGCGCAGAGGAAACAGTCACCCACGTAGTCCTGGAATGCGAGGCTGTGGCTAATCAACGTGAAAAAATCCTCGGAACGGTGAGATCGCTCCGGGAAGCCTGTGAAGTGCCCAGGAGACTTCTGTGCTTCTGGAAGGAGCTAGGCTGGCTAAATTAGCCAGGACTCGTACGCACAACGGACCAACCTCGAGTCTAATTGCGGAGAAAGGAGTCCTTCAACCCTAACCCCTAACCCTAAACTTCAAAAAACTAAATTACTTCAAATTCCACATTACCTGAACTGGTATGTCATATATCCTGATCTTCTTCAAAACAGCCATTAACGCGAGCATTGCATCCAATCTACAAGCCTGGCCTTTCCTTCCAGCGCTGGATGAGCAGCCACTTAACACCCTGGTTATCATCTTTAAGCTGTATAATAAGGCTTCCTCGGAAAGATCACACTGAGAGTGCAAGGCATATCTTATACAACATAGTAATTCCTTGAGATACCCTAGAATGAAAAACTGTAAATTTAGCAAAACTGACATAGTTATAACACGTGTTACCTTTTATTTTGTATTTAATTAAATTCTGAACATTTTTATGAAATATATAAACATATAGGAATCTTGCTGCAAGCGCGCATGTGCTATCGTTGCTCATTTTACTCGTTCGGTTGTTTACGAATAGACGTCGAACATCTGCCCGAAGTAGGATGGTCGAGTCGGAGTGGGGAATAGAATATAAAAGTTGTGGCACATGCGCACGGGCAATTTCTTCGTTTAACTTTGAAGTTCAGTTCATGTATAGTCAGTGAATTATAGTGAATCATGTCATTATTGGAGTGTTTAATTTCCTACCCTAAGAACTAGATCAACTAGCTCTTTTACACAGTTCTCTTATAACGCATTTTGATATTACGCGATTTCAGTACCTTGTATAACGCGGGTTTGAATGCGTTATATTTCTGTACTGTGACATTTATAATGATTTGTACGCAATATTTCGTTCATAACAATCTTATTATTCGATTTAAATCCCCTTAAACGAGAAAAGTTGCTACGTGAATCATTTGTACATAACGCGCTTGTATAACGCGGAACCAATCTAGCGTGTTATAGGAGTGATTAATGTACTAGCAACATTATTTTATTAATGGTTACATTTAAAAAAAGTTAAATGGTAACGTGTTTTGAAGTGGTGCTAAGACATATTAAACACAAAAACAAACATACAGGCACGTAACTTACCTAATATATTCTAAAATTATCTAGACGCAGAAATATCTGCCCCATACGTACCTAGCATATGAAAATTCTTCAATTCAACCCGTTCCAAACATGCAAAAAGGATCTTCAGAAGACTTTCCATCTTGCTACCACTAAACCCATCCCCCAACCCATCTTCCATAATTATGCACCGTAGCAGAACTTTAACTATATATATCCTGAGTTGTATGACATCTATATCATCGCTGGACGTTTGTTGGGGATAGAGACGGTCTCTACTTAAAAGTGCTATTATGGTCGCTTCGTTACCGATAAATGATGATTTTATCCACGACATCGTTGCTTCTATAACAAGTTATTAAAAATAATTAAATAAGAAATTGTCAATAGACATATATATATGTTGTGCGGTTGCATTATGCTGTATAGCCAGTGTTGGCCAAATGCGCATGCAATTCTGATTTTTGTTCCGCGATCCACGGTTGCGCAACAATGAACTTTTCTATGTGCGCATTTAACACTCGCTGGTATAGTGAAGCAAAACCACGTGAGGATCTTGTCAGGCACAGAAGGCTGATCACCTACTTGCCAACACAGGTACAGAAATCTGTGGCCCCGACTTTAAAATTTGCTACGAAAAGTGGCTGCCTTTTGCGCTTAAAGAATGCAGAAGCAATTTACTTGTTCATAAAAGAAATAAAATCAGGTAAATTCCTTTACAAAGTGATATTGAATGATATCATGTATGACGTATTTATGAAGAGATAGTCGTAAAATACTTCGAACACTTTAAATTTTAACAATCACTTTTCAGAATGTCAGAAAGATTGTACACATAGCGGCATTTTCCACGGTGAAGATGTAAGATTGCATTATCATCAAAAAATTTAAGAAATAACATGACAGACAATTTTTGATATGCTGGCGAATATATATATGTAGGCTTGGTCTACTGTTTCGACATATTATAAAAATACCCTTCGGTAAACCTCGCTCGGGATTTTAGAAGACTTGAAAAACACATCTATTTAGATTGATTAGTTAAAATTTTCAAATTAGACGGTTAGACCCCGAAAAGGCGTATATAGAAATATATAATTTTCGAAAAATCAAATGCTTACGCCATTTATCTTCTATATATCTTGATAAATATATGATCAATCGATGTACATTGAGCTGGATATACTCGTATATGTTATAGCGAACATGGATAACTAAGATTAATATAAATGCAAGTCCTTTAGGAATTGGAACTCTTAATAACAAATACAAACACTTTCGCATGAAGCCAAAATACAAATACATGTAGTATATTATTTATGTAATGTAAATAAAATTTTTCTTTTTTAAAATATTATAAATGATTTGACATCAATAAAAATTAAAAGCTTTTGACAAAGGACTATCACATACTTACATACATCTGAGGAACAGCTAGCAAAAAATATAGATAAGCCATCCAATCCAAACTCATTTTTCTTACATCCAACAGACGAAGAGGAAATATGTGCAACTATCAACAAACTTAGGGGTAACTCAGCTGGAGGTTGTGACAACATAGGAAGCGAACTGATAATCAGACTTAAAAACATCCTTGCGGCTCCTATAACCTACCTTTGTAACCTTAGCATGTCGACCAGCACCTTTCCTGAAGCTTGGAAGCTAGCCAATGTAACCCCAATCTGGAAGTCAGGAAACAAAATGGACGTCTCTAATTACAGACCAATATCCCTTCTCCCGGTCATAGCCAAGATCCTAGAACGAATAGTGAACAAGAGGCTGCTCTCATTTTTAGAAAAGCAATCGCTCATTTCCTACAACCAATTCGGGTTCAGAAAACAAAGATCTACTGCAGACGCTGTCAGTAATCTTACTGACCATATAAGCGAGAAATTGGATATGGGGCAGGTATGTATAGGTGTCTTCTTAGACCTCGCAAAAGCCTTCGACACGGTCTCACACTGCATTTTGCTGCGAAGAATGGAACTGTTAGGAGTGAGAGGGGTGGCTCTGCAATGGTTTGCATCCTACCTTAAGGATAGGCAACAGCGTGTTAGTCTTAGGGGACACACAAGCCACAAGAAATACGTCAGATTTGGAGTACCACAGGGCAGTGCGCTTGCACCGACCCTCTTTTAATATATATCAACGACCTGTGCAGTCTGTCACTGGACAACGGAAATATTTATTCATTTGCCGACGATACAGCTATGATATTTCATGCTAAAACTTGGGAACAGGTTTCTGTCTTAGCTGAGAAAGGTATAAATTGCGTCTCCAACTGGCTTCAAAACAATCTGCTTAGTCTAAATCTCAGCAAAACCAAATTTATGTGTTTCAGCATAACAGATCGCTCCCGCCCAACGACCCTACCAGTCATAAAACTCCACACGTGCTATAACCAATATCCATGCCAGTGTCCTGTTCTCGAATACACCGAAAGTATAAAATATCTAGGAATAATAATAGATCGACACCTCACTTGGGAAAAGCACATTGATGCACAGTCTTCTAGGATCAGAAAGCTTATGTTAATATTTAATCGACTGAAACGAGTAGCGGAGGACGAAGTTATTAGAATAATTTATTTTGCACTTTGTCAGTCCATTCTCACATACTGTATATCGGCATGGGGAGGAGCGGCTGAATCTCTATTGCTTAAGTTGGAACGTGCACAGAGAGCAATCCTTAAAGTTGCCTATCGCAGGCCGTTTAGATACCCCACAGTCAAACTTCACCTAGAAACAAAAACCCTCTCGGTAAGGAAGCTTTACATCTTGGCGACCTGTTCAAGATATCATAGATTCCATGGGCTCACAATTCAGGACACATCTAAGAACAGACGTTTTGCATTCCCAACGCCAAAACGAAGGACTGTATTTGGACAACGCTCCTTTGCATTTAGGGGCCCCTTCCTTTATAACAAAATCTCCAAATCTATGGACTCTGAGATCGTAAAACTATCCAGATATAAATTAGCAAGTCACATAGAAACTACACTAGCCAAATTGGATTTCGAATCTACAGAGGCATTACTACATATCTTGGTATGACTTTGAGGTTTCATAAACACAGACACAGTGCACGATCATAACAACTTTCAGCTACATTCTCAAATACATGCGCAAACTCACCTATTCACACACTCACTCATTCACTTCATACGTAACACTAAATTTATAACTATTATTGGTATTTTTTATTTTTTATTATCATTTTTTCATATCACATTTTTAAACTAATTTTAACATGTACCACGAAACAATTGTTTTCTAGTTACCCACAACACAGGGCCTCCCTAGTGTGGGGACTAGCGATTTATGATTTCTGTCACAAACCTTTCTGTCATCAATAAAGTTTTTATTATTATTATTATTTTAAGTCCCGAATAAATCGCTTCATGGACTTCAAGAGAAAAGCTACTATACGCTTCGACAACACACTCGCAAAGCCTTCTGGTGTACAGGCAGTGGTAAGCAATTAATTTTAAATGACCCGCCTGCTCCTTTGCCTGCCGTCAATGGAAATAGTCAAAAATCATTTATATATATAGGTAACACAATGTACACTTATGAACGTCAAAAAAGAAATATACATTAAATGCTTCTAATTTTACATTTACTGCCAGTTCTCAAATCAAGGGCGTAGAACGGAAGCGAATAACTGGCAATAAACTATCCGCCACTCTTTTTAATCGCCAAGTTTTTTGTTTTACACAACGTTATGTTCCACATGACATCTTAAGTAATAAATAATAATAAAACAAATTAAAATCAAAGATTTGTCCTCTATCAGCAGGAGGTGAAATAAGACGCACTTACATTCTCGTGGGAACAACACGCAATAAGTCACTCAAAAATTAAAACTGACTAAGATTTACCTGTCTTAGGCACGCTGTCCATATAAGCTACGATGAACTGCAACAAAACTATCAATAGATCTGTGTCACGCGCAGACGCTGGTGGTGATATTAGAAATCGCTTTAGATTCAGCCATTTCAAACTTCCAAACTCTTCGGGACAGACTGTAGACGATGACATCACATGGATGTAGCTGAATAATAATTTATTAGTTATTAGCTGATCCGGCAAACGTCGTTTTGCCATGTATATCATTTATGATAAAAAATAGAGGTTGGTCGTAGAAGGGTTAAAAATTAGGGGTTATATGTATTTTTTAATGTTGTAAAAATTAAAAAAAAAAATTAGGGGTGGACTACCCTTAACATTTAGGGGGATGAAAAATAGATGTTGTCCGATTCTCAGACATACCCAATATGCACACAAAATTTCATGAGAATCGGTCAAGCCGTTTCGGAGGAGTTTAACTACAAACACCGCGACACGAGAATTTTATATATTAGATTTAACGAATAACTATTTCGTGTCTGAAGTCGTAGTTTTTCGTATTGCATTAAAAAAAATATTTATTAAAATCAAGCGCGCGCAGCAAACTTACCTCTCCAAGACGCACAGAGCTTCGTTAACCTGCATATGTGTAGTAGCATTCTCCAAATTCAACAGTCCTTTCGTACAGGAGTAGTCCACACATGCGGACCTAAGTAGTTCCAAATCGTGATCGTTGAGACCCTTGTTAGATTGAAGCAAATGTGGAGAACCGCGTACTTTTTTGCCCCCATTTAGGACCCAATACCATCTTATACGGATAGCTGTACGCCATTCCGTTTCATTGAGAAGCCAGTCTGGAAATAAGTTTTTAGTTTATAAACTAAAATATTACACTTTTAATTTATTTCTACTAAAGCTGAAGATTGGTGGACGAAATGCGGGTTCGAAGGCTTTATAAGTTCACACACAGAATATTGACAGATATTAAAAGATCTGGTACAAATTAATGCAATTTATTATAAGCTATTTGACAGTATGAAAAATAAAGTGTTATTGGCAGCAATCTGTGTAAAACATGGGTTTAGAAAGCGTTAAATTGAAATATTGATTTATAACGTCGTCACGTGACGCAAACTGGTCACTTCGACTATGACGTCTTGTAGCCTTGCCAGTTTAATCCTAATCTATCTAGGAGTAATTTCGACAAAGACTGTTATTAACGAAATTCAATAAGCAATAATATTATTTAATATTTGTGTAATTTAAGAATGATCATAAACATTTTAACTTTACGTTTTACTTTTATAAATCATCGAAAATTGTATTTAAAATTGTATAATATTAAAATACTCGTGTTAGTTCATATCTACTCGGAACTTGCTCAACTGAAACCCTGGGGTCCTAAGTAAAAATAGATAACTTAACTGTCCTAGTACGTCATAATAGGCACGAATTAAAGGAAGGTAGGGATGTGAAAAAATAATCGATTATTAAAGTAATATTTTTTTAAAAGTAAAAATCGATTTCTTTACGCGATTTTTATATTTAAAATAATCGATTATTTTTATAATTGCAAATCAATCATAATCGATTTTATATCTGCCACCTCTCGACATTATGTCTGGTCTTTTATAACCCGGACCTCGAACTATTAGGGATATTCGATACACAACGATGTTTATAATGCGATATATTGAATCCGATTCTTTGAAGATGTATTGATATACTCGAAATATTGATGTTTTTTTTTAAAACATCAAAAGGATGATAAAAGCAGTTAATTTTACAAAAACTCAAGTTTGAATGGAACACTATAATTTAAAAGTAAAATAAATTTATTCAGCAGCACAAGAATACATACAATTAAAAAGACAACAAAAATACTTCAATGTGCTACTGAAAAGGAATACACTCAGCATTTATCAAAGTCTATCAAAACGAGATTAAGTTTATTTCTATTTTGATTATTCTTAAACGTTAATTTGTGTTTATAATTTCTATTGTTTATTTTTAATTTAAAAAACCATGAAAAATAAAATATTTAGGGTGTTTATTTTGAAATTAATTCAAAAATTAGGAAAAATACGATTATTTTTTTAAGAAAACGATTATTCATGCTAAAAAAATAATCGATTAATAAAAAATCGATTTTTTTTTTATGCAGAATGTCACATCCCTAAAGGAAGGCAACGGTCACGTGACTACCATAACCTCGTTTTTGTGTATGTCGTGTGTGTGTAATTTGGTTTTTCGTTCATTAACGATTCGACTAACACAAGGAATTGTATTTGATTATAAATAATTTATATCAAATGTTTTTTAGAGTTTTTGAAGTTTATACTACACAAAATACAAAATGACAATTGTAAAGAACACAATAGTGACTGAACATTTTAATTATACATGCATACATGAAATTTTTGTTTTGTTTAATTAACAAAGTTAAATAAAATAAATAAAGTTAATAATAATATAGAGAGCATAAAATTCCTCTCAGAAACTATCAGGAAAAGGAGACGAATTTATTTCCATTTAAAAACCTACCCACAGATCCATGTTCGGCATTAGGGCTGGTTATCCAATACGTGTTGACAGTAAATGGTAAATTGACCCGCTGAGTCACACTCGAGGGCAGGGCTGGCACTATTTGCCTGGAGTCGTCCAGCTCTTGTAAAATGAACCCGGCCCAAGCCAGCAACCCTAGTACCTGGGCGGACATTGTTACGTGGCTTTCATTGGCGGGGAATACCAGTACAGCTGAAAAATATGATAGTGGTATGTATGGTCATAGAAATATTCTTATATTTATCATGTTTCTAAAATGTATACAATTTTGAAGTTATACTTCTTTTGGCGCGTTAGGGAAAAATGATGAGAGTAATTTTTTACGATGCGCGCGCACACCGTCACAAAAAAACCGACACCCCTGAAGTTAGCTATAGTCAACATTTTAGTTTTTTTTTTATACAACTATTGATGCTGTATTTGTACGATATTTAGACAATGTTTCTACAAGAATATTTGTATCATACTTTAGCTATCATAAGCCTCTTGTAACTCACATGGCTACTGAACTCCAACAAATAGACGTGAATTAAATAGTAAATATCAATATGTATAAATTGCTAAAATAAAAAATGTCCATTTCTTGAATTATGCCGAAAGAATTATTTTGTGATATAAATAAACTGTATTTAACTAGATAATGCGTTACGATAAAACTTTCAATGTATTAAATACCCTTTTCTATTTTTAGAGTCGTGTTTTTTTTTAAAGATTTTTATCTTGTTACGCCAAAGAAGTATAACTTCTAATACACACACGTTTTTTATTGAAGTACCCTAAGTTGAATTGGTTCGGAAGTACTTCAGTGGGCAGCTGGTTCCACATAGTGATGGTGCGCGGCAAAAACAGTTTAAGAAACGCTCATTTGTGGAACGACGGACGTCGAGGTAATGCCGATAGTATTTTGTATTCTGCCTTGACGCCCGATATTGAAACTCAGCTGCAAGTATTACTCCGAACAACTCCTCTGAACACTCTCCATTTTAAATACGGTAGAAGATGCAGTACAATTTTTGATTCTTACCTCTAAGCAGGAATAAGGGTAATTCAGCCATTTTCGATAGCTCATGTCGGGCGGCAAAACAAATGCTATTTATGACTGAGACACAACTCAAAGCGCACTCAGGGAACGCTAAGTAGTCATCCACTGTTAGGGACATTCTGAAAAACAAAATTGTCATTATTTTACTGTATTAGGTACTAAATCTGTTATATTAGGTACTATATATTATACATATACTCTGATTTTTATATCCGTAGAATTCTGATAGATATAATTTTTTGACATGTCAGTGATGGCAAACCTTTTTGGCCGGGCACATGTTTTCAATTTTAATAAGAGTCTGAACATCTGAGTCTATACATACATTTTATTGTTGGTTAATGTAGCCATTTTATTAAGTGAGGTGCTCAACTTTAAAAGTGGTTTAACGGCGAGTAATTACGTTCCTTTTCATCACAAACAGTAAAAACGCACAAGTAAAGATAACATTTTTTTTTTTAAAAGGTTTACTAAACCTGGAATTAGTAGGCAGTGATGCCAGCTAAACAATAAAATAAAGTAATTACAGTTAATTCGATATATTGCTTGTGATATTGAAATATTTGTTATTTTTGTATTAGGTCACTTGAGTAAATAAATATTTAGATTTACCTTTTTGTAGGTTAAACATAAAAAAATACGTAGCATTTTTTTTATTGCCCTCAAATAAGTCAAATTTGTCGTTTTTTTCGGTGGAGAACTTTTTTAGTAGCAACATTTATGAAATGTCAGAATTCTACGGAATTAAAAAATCAGAGTATTGTAATTTTGTTTATTATTATAAATAGAGTTAAGCGAAAAATATTAATTACCGGTGTCTTCGTGTCAATTTTACAGAATACATTTAAAAGTGGTCGTAAAACAATAGATTTTTTATAAATAATCGACTGTTGTAAAGCACTCGAAACATTGAGTTTAATAATCAAATTCATAAATATTATCATAGCGGCGACGCACTCGCTTGCCTTCCAGCATTGAGTGTACACGGGCGACTTATAATTTTAAAAAAGTTCTGATAATTACAATTGAATACCTAAGCAACGCATCAATAATTTTGACCCCATCATATCGTACAAAGGCATCGTGAAGACCCTGCTGCCTCATCATCACGGCCAGCTGCTGCAAAGTACTTCGACGGAGAGACGGTTCCAATGTCTGAGAAGTGCCTGCCGGCATATACTCCGAGCCGTCCACAACTAAGTCCTGTTTTAGTACTTCCAGAACTTGTATTAGGCCTGTGGTCTGTAAATGTGAATCGACATTATGTGTGGGGCAATCGGGCAACAGATGTTAACACTGCCAGAAGTCTCGAGTGCGTTGCCGAACTTTTAAGAATTGGTAATCTCTTTTCTTGAACCTAAGTAGAATTAGTTTGGAAATTCTGCAATGAGCTGCTTCTCTATTTGAGAGAGGTTCCCCTAACATCATTTATACAATGAAATTGTAATGTCTTCAAAATTCATCAGCGATCATATAAATAAATAAATCAGTGGCGCTACAACCTTTTTAGGTCTGGGCCTCAGATTTCTGTACCTCGTTTCATGATCATTTGTCAATCCAATAGGCAAGGTGATCAGCCTCCTGTGCTTGATACACAACGTTAACTTTTTTGTTCTAAGGCAAGACATTTTCCTCACGATGTTTTCCTTCACCGTAAGAGCGACTGTTAAATGCACTTATAGAAAGAAAATCCATTGGTGCACAGCCGGGGATCGAACCTACGACCTCAGAGATGAGAATCGCACGCTGAAGCCACTAGGCCAACACTGCTCATAAGCGATATATATTATTATGTCCATTTAAAGAATCGACTTTGAAATCGAAATATTTGTGGGATCTAATGATGGCGTCGTAGTCTAGTCGACAAGTTGAAAATGGAACAAAATAGAGATACCTACTGCTCTTAAAATTATGTGCGATAGCTCATTGGATCCGGAATGACGTCTAGAAAAATGTGCTAAAAGCGTGTATTTGCACATAAAAAATTGCAAAAGTTATAGACAATTAAAGATGAAAAAAAAATGGCATTTAGTTTTTTGCCAATATTTAATAAACTATTAATATTTAAGAAATTTCAAATTTCATTTCAAATTTCTGAAAGAGGAGGAAATTTCCAATAAAAAACTCCCGCCATTATATATGGTTGCGCGCGTGGCGTCAAAAGCGACTACGGCACATTAATTAATTTATTTAAGGTATTGAATATTTTTTTTTAAATTTGAAAAAATTATGGTGTGTTCTGAACACTATAATTAATTTATTCCCGTTGAAAATTTTACTTAAAGTTAATTTTTCAACAAGTTAAATAATTGTTAACTAACGAAATTTTCTCGAACGACCGTCTTAATTGTAAGTGAAAAAAAATGTTTAAATAATGGTCGTAAAAATATTTCGCTTCGTAGAGCTTTTCTTACATACATACTTAACAAGATCGTGCCATAAAAGTTAAAAAAAAATATTTATACTTTGTTTATAACATTTTTTTTACTTAAACAAAAACTTAAAAATCCATGTAATGTTGTTAAAAAAAATTTTTTTTCTAAATCATCATATAATCGTTTTTTTATTAATACAAGGTATTTATTGATTTGCAAAAAAAAAATCCCGCCATTTGTTGATAAATTTTTTTTAAACAAATTGATTAAATCAATATTTAAAAAAAAAATTTAAACACAGCTTTATTACATTAAAAATTTTATGATTTTAAAAAAAAAAATTTTTCCTTAATAACAATTTTTAATTGTTTATAATCGTTATTTTAATTTTCTATTGTTTAAATAATTAGTTAAGAAATTTTTTTTTCTAAAAATCATAATTGACAGTCCTCTATAAAGTAACAGAAATTTTTTTTTTTTTAATCAACAATTCTATTGTTTATTAACTTACCAATTTGTTATAAACAAATATTCAACTTTTTTATATTTTTTTTCTAAAACTTCTAAAATTAACAAAAACAACCATATATAATGGCGGGAGTTTTTTATTGGAAATTTCCTCCTCTTTCAGAAATTTGAAATGAAATTTGAAATTTCTTAAATATTAATAGTTTATTAAATATTGGCAAAAAACTAAATGCCATTTTTTTTTCATCTTTAATTGTCTATAACTTTTGCAATTTTTTATGTGCAAATACACGCTTTTAGCACATTTTTCTAGACGTCATTCCGGATCCAATGAGCTATCGCACATAATTTTAAGAGCAGTATCTCTATTTTGTTCCATTTTCAACTTGTCGACTAGACTATCGTACATGAGTCGGGATTGTCTGACAGTGTCATGAGTTACAAACTATAAATATAAATTAAACATGTGTGTTCACGTGTTTTAACTGTTATGTTAAATTTCGCTTTTCAAACTCAAACTCAAAATATCTTTATTCAAGTGGGTAACCAAGTACACTTATGAATTGTCAAGTTAAATTAATTGTAAATTAACATTTACTACCAGTTCGCAAGTCAAGGGCGTAGAGCGGGTAAGAAGAACTGGCAAGAAACTTTTCGCCACTCTTTTTAATCGCCAAGTATTGTCATACAAATTGTTTGAACTGGAGCAAATCAATCCCAAGGATTAGGATCATTTAAGTATTCCTTAAATTTATAAAACGCTTTATTGATTCATTTTTATTTTAAACCTAAACGACCAAGACCAGCCGTCTGTTGGCCCATGGGGGTGGTACCCATTTAAAAATTAATAAGACAAGAACCAATTTTTTTTATAGAACAGGGGGCAAACCGGCAGGAGGCTCATCTGATGTTATGTGATACCGCCGCCCACGGAATTGGTACGCTCTTTTCTTGAAGGACCCTAAGTCGAATTGGTTCGGAAATACTTCAGTGGGCAGCTGGTTCCACATAGTAGTGGTGCGTAATTTTTATATTAGTTGATTTTTAAAACATAAAATCGTTTATCTATTATTTTAACTCACCGACACCTTTCTATCGGGTGAACTCATTTGATCGACATTAAAATCCTGGACCTCCACCCGCCGCAAGGCATTTATAAGGATGTCCGTCCGGAGTGTCTCTTTCGGAGGTAGATATTTGTCGTCATCTAAGAAAATACAAAAATAATAATGAAACGGTGTCTGGCTATATAGTCGTGTTTTATTTTTACTTTTATAATAGTGGAAATGGGCCGGTCTCATTGCCCGCGTTGATGACAGATGGGTCAAAAAAGACTCTTACTTGGAAGAAAAAAAAAAGAACGCCCATCAGAAACCTGGGAATATGAAATAAAAGAGATAGCAGGGAACGATTGGAAAATAGTAGCGAAGATGAGAGACAAATGGAAGAATTTGGAGGAGGCCTACAATCCTTCGGAGGTCGTGTATATATATTAAATATAATAATCCTTATACGTAATCGAATGAATACAGGCTTTTTTATGTTATTTATTTATTAATAAAACGTATTTTACCATTAACATATATTCCCTTTATATGTTAATTGTAAAATACATTTGTATGGACATGATATTTAAATTTGTGTAGTAGTACTAGTATTAAATATAAGTAAACTTTCTTGTTCGTTTGAGATACTAATTATTATTATTATTTAATTTTAATAAATACCAAAATGTTTGCACTACATCATTTAGCAAGTATTAACTCACCTAAAACGCCACACAGAGAATGCGCCGCATACATTTGCACAGCTGGACATTTGACGAACAAGAGCCGGACCAGACCCCAAACCATTTCGGCTTTCGACACTCCCATACACTCCACTATGTCCGCTTCGAGGGATTTGCAAATCGCCTTTCCTGAAACGGAATTTTATTATTACTATATATTATAAAATTATTGTTAAATTTTAACATGGCAAGTTGAATTTTAATATGTTTAATTCAGTTACCTCTGGTTGACCATTGATTATGTTTTTTTTTAATGTTACAGACGGCAAACGGGCAGAAAGCTCACGTGATGTTAAGTGATACTCCCGCTGCCTTTTAATAATTGGTACGCTCTTTTCTTGAAGGACCCTAAATCGAAATGGGTTCGGAAATACTTCAGTGGGCAGCTGGTTTCATATAACGGTGGTGCCCGACATGGTCAGATGGTTTAGTGATTCAGTTAAAAATATAAGTAAAAATTTACGTTTCCGATCAATTTAATTCTATTTTGAAACCTTAGTGAGATTTGAAGCGAAAATCACAACAAATTACTGTCGTTTAACATTTAATGTTAATTTATTTCTAATTTTAGTTAACATATTATAAATATTCCTTAATACCGTCTCTGTTAATGCATTATATATTAGATTTCCTTTCCTTTACATATCAAACTAGGGCCAAAAGGCCACACCGAAGGAGCCTATAATATCAGTAATGTACAAATTTTAAATAAGTTTTTTTTTGTAGTTTTTTTTTACATGTGTTTACTAAGACATCATTGAACATAACATTCTAACCTAACTTAAGACTACTAAGTAATTTAAGTCTAACCTAATTTACTAATAAGAGATAATATAATAAAGAAATAAGAAAGAAAGTGTTATTGGACACTTTGACACTTACAGTCTCTATTAAAGAGAAAACACTTTGTTCTTGTGTTTTTTTTTTACTTACCACTTAATTTATGACAGAATGTTTTTGGAATTGTCTAAATTTATAAAGTACAGAAGGCATAGATTTAAAAGAAATATAAATAAAGCTATAATATCATGTGATCACCCACCAAGTTGCGTTTCGTGAGCTGCATAGACGTGTAAGAGAGGCAGAACGGGCAACAAACTGGCGAGAAGCCTCCACCAACATTTCTCACTCAGAACTAGTCTCCCGCGAAGTAGGTATAACATTACTTCGGAAGCACTTTCCTGAACCTGAAATTTGTATCAATTAAGATTAATTATTGAATAATTAAGAAGGGCGGAGGAGAGAAAGAGTGGCGGAGCGGAGTGCCAGTTCTCAAATCAAGGCAACGGAAGAACTGGCAATAAATGTAAAATTAGAAGCATTTCATATTATTTTTGACGTTCATAAGTGTACATTGTGTTACCTAAATGAATAAATGATTGTGACTTTTGGCTCTGAGGTGATTGAAAAAATATTTTGATTAATTTAAGATTCACTTAGGAAGTGTAAATTACAAGCGTTACAAATAGAAGTTTAAAATGTTTCTTCGTCCTTTCCTTCTTTATTTATTACAGCGAGTTATTAATTTGAAAAATGTACTCCTAATTTAAGTTCTAAGCACGCGTTAGTTACATTTTTTACATTTCAAGTATCTTTGGCACAATTAGATTTCCCGTATATCTTGATTTTCTTGTTTGCTGTTTATTACTTCGCACTTGTCTGATCGCATTGTCTACATCTTACGGATGATAGTCGAGAGAATGGAGTGCCCCTATTTACGACACTGCTCCGACATCTCCTCAAGGCTTTGTCCCTAATAGTTTTTGTTTAACTACTTTTTTCTTATTTTCACTAATTCAACTAACATAGATCTTAAGAAACTATTGTTACTAACTTACTAATCAATCAATGGACTGTATTTGTGTGATGAATAAAATTATTATTATTATTGTGCTTCCAGTTCGTGTAACTGAGTTTCCTTTCATGTGTTTTCAATAAAAGAACTAAACAGATTACGAGCACTCACAATACCTTGAAAATTATTTTCATTTTCAGTTGGTAAGTACTGAAATATATATTATACCCGTTTCTGATTTACAAAAGAACTTTGATAATGGTAAAAACTTTTATTGCTATATCTATATTTATAGTAGGTAACAATATACCTTAGCATAGAGGTCAAAATATCAGAAAGGTAACTCAGGTAGAAGTTTTAATAAATTCCAAGTAATTCAGAATCTGGTGTAAAACTGTCTTATTAATAAACAAAGTAATAAATAGTTGAGTTTGAGCAGTGTCGGCCTAGTAGCTTCAGCGTGCGACTCTCACCTCTGAGGTCATAGGTTCGATCCCCTGCTGTACACCAATGACTTTCTTTCTATGAGTGCATTTAACATTCGCTCGAACGGTGAAGGAAACATCGTGAGCAAACCGGCTTGCCTTAGACCCAAAAAGTCGACGGCGTGTGTCAGGCACAGAAGGCTGATCGCCTACTTGTCTATTAGTTTGACAAATGATCATGAAAACAGATACAGAAATCTGAGGCCCAGACCTAAAAATTTTGTAGCGCCACTGTTTTATTTAATAAACAGTTTTGCTTTCGAAAACCCTACGAACTGTCCTAAGCACTGAAGTGATTTTTTTAAGTGTGTCAAAACTGTCTTGCATTTGACATGTTGGAGTCATACTTAGCGCTGTCTTGACTCTGAATCCTACCCTCAAGGTACTTAATTTAATTAGAAACCGATTTAAATTTTAAGAAATCATTTTCACGCACCTCTTCATTACTACACGATAAACCATGGCAGCATATCTCAGTTAGAACACCAACATCACACAACAAATTCAAACTTATTTCATTTTCCGACTTAAACACTTCTTTAACCATATCCACCAATATTTTATAGAACACCCCTTGAACCCAAGGGATGCTGTGAGCCATAAGCGATAACGCTATATCTCTGGCTAATGACCAATCATTTGCATCTAACTTCTTCGCTATTAAAACTTCGGATATATCAGTCAAAAATCTCTCATTTCTATATATATGAAGCACTGGTATGGAATTTTTAATTATTGATAGTATATTTTGGTTGTTTCCAGGTTTCTTCATGAACTCCACCGCATGATCCATGCTTGTGAATATTTTCTTCAGTTCTCGGTATCTGCTTTTAAATTCTTGGTCTACCGCTGATTGTGCACACTGAAATGAGACATTTTCCTTATGCGTTAAGATTTAAAACACAATGTTGGTTTTAAAGGCAATACGTTGAGATAGGTGCGTGTACGTTATGTACGTACACGTGAGTGAAGATGAAAAATTTAGGAATTTTTTTATTTAAAATAAAGGTCCATATATATTTTATTAAATTGAAGATAATTTTATCGACGAATATAAGAGTGTAATACAAAACTCACATGTAAAACAGCAGACATTCGCTTATTAAGCTCTGGATAAAAAATATCGATTCCCGGGTCCAAAAGACCCATTTGCAAAGCTGTAGACAAGGAAGTTGGCGGAAGAGGGGATTTCCTTGCCCAATATAGCAATTCAGCTGCACATGATAAAAGTCTAAACCAGGCTACTCTATGCTGTAATCTCTCTTGGTCTGACTGGTACAAATTGCTGTAAAATATTATTTTTAGTATTTAGCTGTAGGGCATTGCAGTGTGACATAATATATACTTTATTCATAAAAATAAATAAGTGTTTTAAATAAATTACGCGTTCGAAATAGACACTTTGTCTTTTATACATTTTGTTGAGGGTAATCCATATTTTTTTGACACGGCCTTTAGCCATGTTTGATTTATTACTTTACATTTCCTCAATGTGGTTTTGACAACGCTAGTTTAGATATTGAAAATGTTTATATTTTTGCAAATTAAGTTATTTATCAATTTTTTACACCCTCAATTTGAGCATGGTGAATTTATTTAAAGGCAAAGTATTTGTTATCAGTTTTAACTCCCTCCTTGTTCCTATACTAATGGTTTTCTTATCCTTACGACTGACAATTGTGTGCCTTTTACGTTATTAAGTTTGAGTCAAGGATATATAAGAAGTCAGGGTTTACTATATATTGCTATAAAGCTATGTATCAACGGTGACCGGTCTGTCACAGAACTCGTTTGTTTTTTTTTCATCACTGCGTAGAAAAAATTTTACAGGACGAAAGATTAGTTTAGATAAAAGATACACTGATTTGCTTTGTATGAATAAAGAGAATAGCCTATCCACGTCCTTAATAAATGAACTATCCAAGACAATATTTTTAATTTGACTTAATACTTCATGCAAAAAGTTTACATATAAATTATCAGATATTTGGCTAGATTATTCCGTTAATAACTCTACAATAAAATAAAATAATAATTGACTTACTGATACTTCATTAAAAGGTCACCCAACATCCGCATCGTCATGCAACTTTTATGGGCTATATCCCTTTGAACCTTTGATGAGTGATCCGTGACCCAAAAACTCTCATCCACAAGGTCCAAGAGAAACTTAGTCAGTTCTTCCACTAAACAAATGCATAGACTTAGCTCCTTCTGAAAAATTCAATACCCATATCATATTTAATATTTCCAACACACAAATATACAGTATTGATAATTTCTATTTAATTTAATTTATCTACCAGGCGCCCCGCGCCAACTTATATCTTTAATTAGCGCTTGTGCACTTGAACCCCTCGGGCCCAAGAGTCTTTACTCCAAAGGAAACATAATCCAAGTTGAAGGAACGAGTCTTTAAAAGGTTTATATTTCAACCGATTATTATTTTCCGCCTGCTCTGTGGCCGCGCCAGCTTTTTTGCTTGTCCGTGGAAGGTGAGACAGGACTAACGTGTAGAAGCAGCATCCATTGTGTATAACAACGGTCTCACAACCATACTTTAAAAATAATTATTCATATAAAATTGTATTTTCCTGTGTATAATAAACAAATTATTATTTAATGAGACTGTAAAATAAAAAAATTAAAATATGTTTATTATGGAACATAAGATACATGTATCACTTATTCCACGTCATTAAATTTGTAGTTGTTTGCCGAGAGAAAAAGCCGGCGTAAAAAACTCTCGGTACTCTTTTAAAATAGCAAATCATCAAACAACACTTATTTTAAAACAAATATCGCAAATTAATTAGAAGTAGCATGTCTAGCACTAGTCCCAGGCCCTTTTATCAACTAGATAATCGTTGACTTTATAGTAAGCCTTTTTACACAGCTTTTCTTTAATACATTTCTTAAATTTATTAAAAGGCAGAGATAAGAGCCTCTGGGATTTTATTAAAGAAGAGTATCCCTTTACAACACTTTAGATAGTCTAGTACGGGGAAATTGCAGCCTGCGTTTGTTCCGTGTATTAACATTGTGCGTATGTTCTATTCTAGTAAACTTATCACTATTTTTGTATACATACATAATACTTTCATAAATATATTGCAAGGGAAAGGTAAATATATTAATTTCCTTGAATTTATCTACATTAGATTTAGATTCCCTACATTTTAAATTATAGATTGCACGAATAGCCCTCTTCTGCAGGATGAAAATAGTTTCGACATCAGCAGCATGACCCCATAATAATAAGCCATAAGTCATTAAGCTATGAAAGTAACTAAAATAAATTATTAAGTATTATATCATGACTATGCTAGGATTAGGTCAAATAATTCTTTGTCTTGAAAATGTGGACTATATCCTAGTCTTTTAAATATTTTGCCGATGCATGGCATGCGACAGGCGCAGGCGACGATCTTTGAGGATATGGTAGAACGGTCACTTTATAAAATAATCAAGTAATAATAATAAGAAGAAGAAGCATTTTAATAAAATTTTAAGAAGTGCTCGTTCACTCACCATAGTCAAAATTTCTTTATCTGTAGTTTCAATCTGTACACTCTTAGCCATAATACAGAGAACAGTGTGTGCTGTATCTAATGCAAATATTGGTGCAGGCAACTGCCGCAATGCTGCTAATTTATCCTCATTTGGTGTTATGATTCTACCCACTATTTGTTCCAATTCCACATTCACATTATCATAGGAATCCCTGTTGTCAAACGGTACCTTAAAAATAACAAGATTTATCTGAGTATACGCCATGGTCAGTCCTTAGATTATATAAGGAGCAATAAATTTACAGGTACCCTCTTTTTAGAAGCCAATAATTGTATTATGTAAAGCATCATTTTATTAACAAACTTAAAAAAGGTGGCTATCAGTTTGAGTTGTATGCATATTTATTTATAAGTTTTAAACAACATGTATGAATAAAATTATACAAGAAGATATGACATCACAAATACACATCAAATATATTAGAACATAAGCAATTAAGTTCTGGAATAGGTATGGGTTTAATAAAAATGTGATGAAGTTGGGTTTGCATAGTATTTGTATATGATAAACTTCTGGAATTATTCACATCAGTAATTTTTAAGTTAATTGAAAGATGCCAAAAGATGTTTTTGAACTAAGGCAATAGTAAATTAAGTCTAAGTATCAATAAAATCTGTTTATTAGTTTTTGATAAATGGGTAAACACTAATTTTTTGAGGTGACATCTATAGTAAAGTAAAAAATGTTTTAATATAATATTTTACCTTACTATGTTCACAAATAAGTTCTGCAGATAACAGCTGTTTTAGCCGTTTATGGAGTGATTTTGTTATACACAATAGTACATGCAATGCTTCACTGGGAGAACTGCCCAATTGCCCATCAGATATAGCTAGTAAGGCCTAAATACATAAAAATGATTATAACTACTAAATAGTAAATAAAATACAAGAATGAAACAATAATAATAAACCACACAACACACTTTGTTTATAAATAAAGTGATTTCGAGAATTGAAATTAAACCCAGCACTTCTGAGAAATATGCCCTGAGTATTACAACCCAGTAGATCCAAAAGTGGTCAACTGTCCTTGGCCAATTAGGATGTTATGGGCCTCATATGCACTTAGACTATCGCATAACACTTCATTGTATTTTAATAACCAGTTTTTACCTTAATAATAGATGGTCTATTTAAAAATATTTCAGCAGGAAAATCGCTAAGAAATACATCTCTAATAAATCTACAGCAACGCCGGGTAGACTTAACAAGCTTCAGGGAATCCTCAATAAGGACAATTGTTTTAAAGTCAGATGGACTTAATACAACCCATGGAAAGAGAAGCACATTTATGCCATTTGTTTGAATACTGAAAGACAATATATTAGACAATTATAATAAATGGATAACTAATAAATAATACAGCAATTGTTAGCATTTCATGTTTAAATTGAGATAGCCAACACTCAACCGTTTGTCAATTTACATATGTTATGTTACCTATTTAACTACAACAAAACTTACTTGTGGTTACTATTATATTCAAGTAGAACAGAACCTGGTTCTGATGTCAAATTTCTGTTTGAGTTACAAAGTTCTTCATTAGTAAAACCTCCACTTTCAGAATTCGAGCTACAACATTTATATTTAAAAATGTAATATATTTTTATAAATGGTTTTGCACAATATATAATGAATATACAAACTTACTTTACACTAGAAGTAGAAGGAATATTAAGTCTTGGTACTTTCATATTATCAGAAGATTCTATAGTATTAAGAAACTTAAGGGTATCTACAATTTCTTCAAACAATTCTATAGTGTTTTCATCAACTTTAGGCCTTATTTTAAATAAAACTTCTAGCATTTGATGTATGTTATATTCTCTTACAGCATAATTACCACCTTTTGTCTGTGAATACAGTTTTAAAGTTAAAATATATTATATAACAGACCATTTTTTCTGTACATTTCATGCACATACTTTTCAAGATAAGTTTCACCTAGATTACCTTTATAAATCTAAGTAATAATTCTAAGGCTTCCCGCTGCATTGAAGGATGTTGAATATCAAACCAAGCAAGAAGAGCTTCTAAGAGTTCACTATTACTACGTAAATCATCATTTACAGTCCAACCTAACTGCATTTTAGCACAAAGCAGTTGTAAAGAACGTTCACGAATTTCTCGCAATGGGTGACCTAGAAAAAGCTTTAATCATAGATATAATAGTCCAACTTTACAAACTGTTTAGTGGAAATAGCAATGTTTTAAAGTTAAAAAGCATTTCAATAAAAAATAATAAACACTGCTTAAAACGTACTCAATTTCTTAATATATGTAGAAAGTATTTCATTTGAGTCCATTATTGTGTAGTTTTAAGTTCTTTACATACTGAAAATCGAAAACAAAACCAAAACATAAGTTACCAACAAAAATCAACAAACAAATCGTTAAAACTTAAAAGAGTTCTGCAGCCCGCCTACCGCACAGACTAGAAAATTACAGAATTACTATACATTTTGACAGATTTTAAGTTAGTGTTTCTCAATTTTTTTTTGCAATTTTGTAGGAAAAAGTACGAAATATACGAAAAAGTCGTATAATCTAATTCGCAAAATTATATGCCAAGCATAAATGACTTTGACCATCACAATACCAACTAAACCGTTCAAAATTTAAAACACGTTAAAGAAGTTCTTGATATCATAATGTAACCTTTAGGCTTTAACAGACTAAAATCAATTATTTAATTTTATTCTTTTCGATTCTTATTATAGTACAACAGCTATCGAATCGATTCTTATAATATATACGGAGCAATAGTCCACCATGTATTTATATATATCGAATCGCTATCTAGATATTGTACTTCGGGTTATATGATATAAGTACTACGTGACCTTCGTGAATAACATCCGAATCTAGGTGTTCTCTTCAATCATCAATAAATATAAAATATAATTATATTTCATAACGGCGATGAATGTTAATTTGAGCTCGTCGTCGTCGGATTTTATTTATAGAGATTCAGTAAGACTTATAATAATAAATAAATAAGTAATATTTTTTCTTTAATATTCGCACAGTAGTAAACGTGATCGTGAATAATGAAACTGTCAATATATTACGGGCGATTTATTTTATGTAAAAACTCTACAGGAGTTGTTAAATATTTTACTTTTCCAAAATTTTAATGTTTGTCGGCTTGTATTCACACAAGCATATTACGAGAATATAACCTTGTCATATTGCATGTAGGTATTATTGTGTACTTCTATCGCATAAGATATATTATCTAACAATAATTTTTAATAACTGGAGTGGATTATTTTACGTACGTTGCAAGGAATAAAATTAATATTTTATACACCTATGACCTAGACATAACTATTGGCATTGACTGATAGCTAACAAATTATACCTGACACTTGAAAAATGACAAATTTTTAAATTATGATGACATGTCGCTGACAATTGACATGTATTTACTATTTTGCCTAAACAGTAAAATTTGGTGTATGTTTTGTAATGATTATTGGATTTTTGTGTATTCGATGAACTATTGCGCTAAAAGTAAAAAACATGGATACAAATGAAGCGTTGGACGAAAAAGATAATGGTCCTGAGGTTCAATTAAACTTTCCCGCCTCAGTGATGAGCAGAATTGAGGAATTAATGGGCGGCAGTGAACATTTTGATAGCGACGAAGTAAGTTTTATTTATTTTAAATGTTTAACGTATTATTTTTGAATATATATTAATTACAATGAACTGCTTACACAGTAGTTGCCCAGTGTAGGGTTATATTACGAATACAGTACCTACTTCTTAGTACCTTCTATTTCCTTACAATCCTTATAAATAAAAAGTAACCTCATAACCTTCGCCTTACAAATAAAAAGTACATATGGAAAATATGAAGTGTATTAAAAACAACTGCTAAACAATGATATATTAATATTATTATAAATATAGACTAACAAGTTCAATAACATTTGGTCTTGGCTTCAGAGATCTGTTTCTGTACCCTTATCTAAGAGTGAGATTCAAAACTATTACTCCCTTACTTAATAACATTTTTATCTGGCTTGTAAAGAAAGTTATTATAAAATTTTTTCAGTAGTTATTCCATAGATACCTAACTTTTCAAAGTTTGACAATAATGCTTATAAATATGATTAGGTGTGGCTTGGCTGTGTCTCTGTCTGTGACTGTCTCTTGCTTTTATGAATATTAACATAAGACATGCCCATCTCCACCCAATGCCCTAGGTACTACCAAGTTTTAGGCACATAGGTAGACAAATGGGGTACAGCCAGAATGTAAAACTGAAACAAAATACACTTTTGGAACAAAAACAATATTAAGGTTTTAGTACGAAACATACTGTTGTTCCAAAAGGCTTTTGCTCCTTTCGCCAGCATTACTCTAACACTGCCACAGGGTAACCTTTAACTTTTGAAATTTGTTTTAATTTTCTTTTTTTCTATAATTACTGTGTAGGTTAAGAAAGCTATGAAAAATGTATATTTGATTGTTATGAATTGATTTTGATGCTGCTTTTTTTGTGCGAATATCCCCTATATTCCAAGGGTACTATGAAACCAGGATCTGATGGTATCCTAGAGAGATCGAGGGGACCATTCGAAAATCGGTGCAAAATCAAGAAAATTATGAAATGATTCCGTTAAAAGTAATTTTTTGTACAACTTTACAGTTTGATGCAGTAGCCTACATCAACAGAGTGTTTCCAACGGAACAATCACTATCAGGGGTTGAAGCGGCAGCCTCTAGATGTGAATTCCGTTTAGCAGCTGTTCAACATGACATCCGGAGGTTGGTACAGGCTCAACACAATCAACGGAAAGCCGGTCACCAGGCACTGCTGGGAGCCCAGAAGTGCATCTCGGAGTTGTCGTTGCAGGTACCAATAATAATTGATATATATGTAGTTTTTTTTTTATTTTACTTCTCCATCTTTCCGAACAAGGAAGAGACTTTATGATATACTTATATGTAGACTGTACTTTCCAAAGGAAGCTCAACCGTCGTCGGCTTAAAACCTGTTTCATTTTTATTCCTTTCTTGAAGTTGCTGAACTATCCGTTCACATAGATCCTCCAGATACATTCTGTGTTTGAGGTGTGTCATTAACTTGCTAATCAGTGTACATCTCTGGCTTGGAGAGTGTCCATAAAAAAATAAAAAAATAGGTTTTTCCGAACCAATTCGCCTTAGGGTCCTTCAATAAAAAAGCGTACAAATTCTTAAAACGCCTGCAACTCACTTGCAAGCCATCTGGCAATGTGAGTGTCTATGCGCAGCTATATCACTTAACATGATCCTTCAAGATAAGGGCGTACCAATTTTTAAAAGGCCGGCAACACATTCGCGAGCTTTTTGGTATTGAGAGTGTCTATGGCAGTATCACTTAGCATCGGGTTAGCCGCTTGCCTGTTTGCCCTACAAAATCCTGAAGCAGGTAGGCCACTTCATACATGGGTGTCCTCCAGTGCCATAGAAACACGTTATGGCTAGACCATCCATGAAAGTCGGTTTAAATCTTAGGTAGCGGATATAAACAAGAAATCGGAACGCAGTGAAGGTATGGTCCGCGAGATCACATCCGAAATAAAGCAATTGGATTGTGCGAAGTGGAATTTGACGGCGGCCATCACGGCGCTGAACCATCTTCATATGTTGGCCGGTGGAGCCGCGTCTTTGAGGACATTGGCGCAGAATCGTCAGTATAAAGAACTCGTCTTGCCATTGCAGGCCATTATGGAGGTATGTGTTTCATTTTTAGTAGTTTATAGCTGTGCTCTGCGGGTCTACATGCAGAAGCAGGATATTCTATAGCCTTGAGCTTTCGGTAAATATACGTTTAAAGAAAAAAATATTGCTCTATTGTCAATAGTTTCCGCAGCATAGGAATCTTTATTGGTCTTTTTACTCTTTAAAATATTCCACAGCCTATGTTCATCATAGTTGGGTTCTAATGGTGAAATATTATTTTAAATCCGTCTAGACTTGGGGCTTCTTCAATGCAATCAAATAAATGTGTAGATTTAGTTCCCCAGTACGAAATAATATACTCGTAGTAGTCCTATAATTCTTTTTAGGTCTGGGCTTCAGATTTCTCTTAGTAGGCAGGTAGGTGATCAGCCTTCTGAGTCACGTAGGTCTAATGCCAGTTTTCCTTCAAACGAGCGAGAGTTAAGCTACTCTAAGGCGCGAAACACACAGAAAAGGCGTAAGGTGAAGGCGCGGCGCAGACATCTTGCCGCTTCAAAACGCGGCACAGGCGACGAAACGACGTACCTGTGCCACGCCGCTTGAGTATAATTATTAAAAACGTGCCGCTTACGTACATTATGTATTGACGCGTTTTGAAGCGGCAAGTTGCCTGCGCCGCACCTTCACCTTACGCCTTTTCTGTGTTTCGCGCCTAAGTCAAAGGCTAGATTGTATCTGTTCATTTCACTGTCTTCATTTTGAATACAATTTCATCTTTAGGTTATTAACGTAATAACTTAAGACAGAAGGTCCCTCAAATAACCGATCTCACTTTTTACGGTAGAAGAACTGAGTTGCGAGACGTGGTTTTGTTGAAGTGTCGGAGTCTTCTCTTAATGTTTCAGGTGCTCCAACATTTAGAGAATTATCGCGATATTCGCGAATTGAACGCACTAAGAGAAGAAGTGCACTCGATTCGTGCGAATCTCGCTGAACAAATATTGGCGGATTTTAAACAGGCGTTTACTGGTGAGTTTTCCCCTTAGGTAGATTGTTTGGGGTATGGCAACACTTTTTTAGAAATGATCAGGTGACATAGGTTGTTTTCCAATTACAGCACTAGAGCGCATTATGCGGCATAATGCTCAACGTTGAATGTTCCACCTACAGCAACCCTTCGCACTCTCAAAAGTACAGTTTTCGCGTGATACTCGCAATCAATACCAACTCAGTGACAGAAAATTGACAAGTGTTTTTTCTTTAAGTTGGCATTGATCGAAATTATCGTTAGTAATATTATTTATTGTTGAAAAATTTGTAAGTTAGTATAAGTATATAATTTTTTTAGAAATCATTTAAAAAATTACTTAAAATGTAAAAAAAGGTTAATGAAAATAAAAATTACTTAAAATAAGCGTAAATAGCTTTCAACCAATTAGTATTGTTTACCACATTATTTATACATTAATGAGGTTGCTAACTCTATGAACTTTTTCCAACTAAGCTTCAGCATATTTCGGCATTGTGCGCCACTGAGTCGCATTATGCTCTGTAATTGGAAAACTAACATAGCGTGAGCTAATGTTATTCTTATACAAATTCCTCGAAGTATTTTAATGTGTCAAATCCCTTGTCATAGTCAATTAGCGCCCCTAGAGCTTTGATTGATTAGCTTATAAAAGACTGGTACTCTGTACGTCCCAATACATAATTGACCAACGCAATTCCTTTACGGCATCTATAGATATTCTGCTGCATCGAATGCATAGTACCGATGCCGTAAGTTTTCTTGTAATTGATTAAATGTTTAGGCGGTAGTAAAAGCACCATTTCCCAACGGACGTTGAGCGAGGCCTGTGGAGTCGTCGACGTGTTGGAGCCCAAAGTGAGGCAAGATCTGCTGCAATGGTTCATAGGACTGGAGCTACAGGTGAGAACCGAACTCTTTTTAATGTAACAAACGGGCAGGAGGCTGATGTGATGTTAAGCGATACGCCCATGGATACTCACATTCCCAGAAGGCAAGTGCGTTGCCGGACTATAAAGAACTGGAACGCTCTTTTCTTGAAGGAGTCTAAGTCGAATTGGTTTAGAAATACCAATTCTTAAGAGACTGGTAACGAGCGTGTCTTCTGGCAAGGTCCTTAAGTATCTCTTGACGTCAGATGAGCCTCTGGCCCGTTTGTCTCCTGTTCTATAAGAAAAAGGTTACCAAGTAACGGAGCTCCTCTTAGTTGGCTTCGAACTCTTTCCCTTCTTTATATCCAGACATTACCCCCTGGTACGCCTCTTATATACTATATACATATATTCAAGGAGTACGAACACCTGTTCTCCCCCGAACAAGAATGCGCGTGGTTGCCTCAAATAGCGAGGCGCTACTCGTGGCTAAAGAAGCACCTGCTGGCCGTCGAGCAGACCAAGGGAGCAATATTCCCGGCGGCCTGGCGGCTCAGCGAGAGGATCGCTTATCACTTTTGCAAGGTAGGTTAACGAAAGGGGCTTCGATCGCAGCCGATGTCGCAAATTTTTTGACGTGAGGAGCGACACTCCACTCGGACTTGGGGATGTGCCAAATCCCGTGATGAGGTGCCGCTCTGCATATACATACATATAGTATATATAATATATATTATATTCTAAATACTATATGTTTCTAGAACGTCGTTTTGTTATCGCGTTTACATATACATCACGTCATCTGTCGGCTAATAAATGCATTCAGACATTTAAGGGGTGGAATGTACTCGATGTGCGCTTGAATGATCTTCGTGGATGATAGATGTTCGACCAGGACGGAGTAAAGCAAAAAATAATGATTTTTTTAAAAGAAGCCTGATTTTTGGTAAAAGGCGGGTCGCGGGTGGTCTCGTGGCGGACGTATGCGAACCGGCTCGCTACAGTCTGATTAATCATTAAAATAATAACAAGTCTAGAATGTTCCATATCTTCTATAAATATTCTATGTCCCTTACAAGGAAATCCTTTCCTCACATCTTCTAGAATAATCCATTTCCATTATCATTCCGTCCTCTTAACGCGTAAACGTCTCCCTCGTCTTCTATAATGTTTCGTGTCACCTATCCTGTCCTTGTTATGCTTCTAGAATGATCTATGACGTACATCATTCTGTCCTTTTTACTCCGGTATCTAGAATGTTCTCGTCTATAGTGGTGTTTAAATTTTTTTTAGATAACCCGGGAAAGTCTAACTTCCCTAATGTCGTCCCGTAGAAATGAAATCGACTGCAAATTATTGCTGTACGCGATACAACAGACGCACAATTTCGAATTATTACTTCATAAACGATTTATTGGTGAGTTAAAATATTGTTTATTCAGATACAAAAAATACAGTGGCTCTACGGTCTGTGGTCCCGGCCTTAGTGGGTGATCAGCCTTATTCCTCAAGATTTTCTATATATGAGCGAGTGTTAAATGCGCACATATTAAAGTGCATTGGTCCTTATAAAACCGTCCAATTTTCATCAAAATCAGTTCGTTAGTTTTTAAGATATTGGTGCATTTCTTGTGTAGTCTTGTGAATACTTTTTTGTTGACTTTGTACGTCAAGACAAAGCAAAGAGATTATTAATTATTTTTCTTGTAACTTCAGGCACAGAGTTGGCACCGGAAGCGGAAGCAAATTTGGAAGAGATCTCCTTCGATGCTTATATTGAGGTGTGCCACCGTAGACTTATACTGCCAATTAAAATCATTAAAAAAGTGCTTGTTTTGATCAATCATGGCTGAAAAATTTGCTTTTTAGACTTCAGTAAAAGATCTGTTCGCTTAATGCTTACGTCGGCTATCATTACGACGTTAATTATCTAATTTCTCTGTATATTAAATAACATTATGTTCTGTGGACTATTTTAGAATATCGAAGATGTGACGTCACACAAGAGTCCGTGGGTGGGTGTGGTCGGAGGATGCTTTGAAGAGCATCTTTCCCTTTACATAAGCAGTCTCGATAATAATCTCCGGTCGCTCATGGATCGGTTTATTCAGGTAATATTGATAACATTTATAAGAAGGTTTACGCGCTCCTCTCAATGGAATGGCTGAATTTGATGCACACTGAAGTTTGAATCCACAACTGAGCGTCTAAAGGCAGTTTTTGCAAGGCACCATTGATTTCTGAACCAATTCGAGAAAGACGCGCGGCGGCTCCGCCTTCTTTGTTTATGAAAAATTGCGGAATATGATATGGATTTTTTAAATATTTTTAATTGAGGAGCGTCCCGTCCTTTGGGACACAAGAGATGAACATTATAAAAATAAATTTATTAAGCAAGATGCGTGGAAGAGCGTCTGTGAAAGTTTGCATCAGAGTTCATAATCGTAATAAATGGATGAACCCAGAATCTTCTTTTTCTTTTATATCTATTTAACAATAACAGCAGTGCAATTATCTTTTTGCGATCCATCTTACGCGTCCTAAAAACACGTCCAGTACGGCTGACTACGAAGGAATGGTCGACCTACCAAACGGTTTGTCGCACTAAATCGTATCGCAGAAATTCGCATCGCATAGCAGTTTTGTGTGGGAGTCCTAACATCATGTGAGCCTCCTGCCCGTTTGCCCCGTGTTCATAAATGGTATGATTTTATTACTATCTCTACGGTAATTCTGGTCCATTGTTTTTATAATGTTAACAGTGTAAAGTCGAATTCAGTCCATATTTATATCTGTAGGAAGCTAAGAACATAGAGATCGGCGACTGCGAGGGGAGCGGGTCGGGAGGGGTGTTGGCGAGTTGCGCGGATCTCTTTCTCTTTTATAAGAAATGCCTCGCTCAATGCGCCACTCTGTCCACGGGGGATCCGATGTTAGGTGAGTCGGAGCTCGAGGTCTACGCATTATTTATTTATTTAAAATAGGTCAGCCCATTGCACCTTATCTAAACAGAGCTCCTTCTATAAGGAATAGCTGCGGACCTAATTGCAGGCTGACAGCTTGCGCTTGCTAAGCCACATTGAGTCCTTCCGCTGACCCTGGCACCGACGTGTCTGTGAAGTTAGCAGAGTAAAGAGTTCTGGACATTGAAGTCCAGAAAATGATCCTTTTTAAAGCGCAAAACGCTCTGCCAGCTACCTGATCACAATTTTTGGCATTTCTTCTGGATTTCGAAAAGTAAGGTCTAATGAAAACAACACGAAAGACAAAAAGGTTTAATTATAACAAAATAATGAGCATTATTTTTACTTTTAACTAAATTTAAAATAGATTATACACACAGACATAGGAACTCCGTAGTTAATATTACAGCTATACCATATATTATCTTGAAATCCAGAAGAAATGCTTTGCTGTCATCGGGAAGCTGGACCTCAGTGTGTTATTGGTATCTGCCGGAAAGTGCTCCGCTAACTTCACAGACCCGGCACCGACCGAATCTCTTCAGCCAAACCTTAAAGAAATGTCTGATTCACTTCAACAGCTCATCCAGGTTCCCTTTGTAGTACGGTGTAATATGCCCCCGGAGACCACGAAAAGTCTTGTGCCCTGGACATAAATAGAAATGTCCAAGTTCCAATATATTTGTAGAACTGTCGGCCGTGTTCGGGAAATATCTCCGCGAGTACGCGGGCTCGGTCCTTCAGAACGCATTACCGAGGAGTCACTCGAACACAGTGAACAATATTGTCACGAACATACACACATTTCTCAAGGACGAGAGTGTTGTGAGGTAATTTTCAACATTATTTATTATTAAATTAGTTTAGCTTAGTCAAATAAAAAACCATTGGCGCTACAAGCTTTTAGGTCTGGGCTTCCGATCCCCGTATCTATTAATAGGCAAGTGGGTGATCAGCCTTGTGCCAGTTTTTTTTCTACGAAGCGTTAAATGGGCTTAGAAAAGTCTCTCGGAGTTCTACGTCTTAGGGGACGAGAGTCTCTCGTAGACCAGTTAAAAATAATCCTGGCAACGTTCGAGCGCCTCAGACCGTGATCGTTTCTCTCCACAGATATACAAAGCAGGAAATCTCTAAGATCACAAGCGTAATAACGACGTCGGAGTACTGTTTGGAGACGACCGTTCACCTCGAGCAAAAGTTAAAAGAAAAAATTCATCCGAGTCTGTCCGATAAAATCGATTTGGGCCCTGAACAAGATTTATTTCACAAAATGATCGGCAACTGCATTCAGATCCTGGTCCACGATCTGGAGCTGGCCTGCGAGCCGGCTCTGTCCTCTATGACCAAAATATCGTGGCTCCACTTCGACACGGTCGGCGACCAGAGTTCGTACGTCACCCAAGCGATCATGCATTTGAAGAACTCGATACCGATCTTGAGAGATAATCTCGCGTCGTCCCGAAAGTATTTCACCCAGTTCTGTATCAGATTCGCCAATTCCTTCATCCCTAAATTCATTCAAAATATCTACAAGTGTAAGCCGATCTCCACCGTCGGCTCCGAGCAGCTGCTGCTCGACACGCACATGTTGAAGACGGTGCTCTTGGAGCTGCCGTCCCTCGGCTCGGACGTCAAACGTCAAGCGCCGACGACCTACACGAAAGTCGTCATCAAACTGATGACGAAAGCGGAAATGATTTTAAAGTTGGTCATGGCGCCGTTGGATAATAATTTGGAGGGTTTTGTGGCGCAGTTTCTGCAATTGTTGCCGGATAGCACGCTGGTGGAGTTCCATAAAGTCCTCGATATGAAGGGAGCCAAATTGAGTAAGAGCCAGTTGAGCGCTTTGGACGCTCTCTTTAAGGAGACGTCGAGGAAGTTATAGTGAGACTGTCAATTAAATCATTAAATATTTGTGTTTTTCTTTTATCCTTAACAAAACTAACAAATACTATTAAATATGCAAATAATTAAATTACTTCTGATGTTTAATCTGTTTAAAACGTTAAAGATACACTATGTATTATCGTGAATCCGTCAAAGATGGATGGCATTTGACATTTCTAGAATGACGCCATTAGTTTCGCGCCAAAACATTTGTATATTATATGTATGCATTTGCATTAGTAGCGTTATAACTAATTCCAATAGAATAGTTTTGTTTTATTAAATTTGTTGAGATGTCCAATGCATCTTAAGCTGCTAATTATAGCATATTAATGTTTTGTTATTATTTTGTAAGACATCTATTCATAATCAACCTACATAGTTACTTCCTCATATTGTTAATAAATGTTTAAATCAACGAAGAGAATGTTGACGTCACGGACTGTAAATAATTAATAGAGCGTGGATCAAATAAAAAAAGGTTTCTGTAAAAATGCCTGCAAATCGCGTAGGTTACTTGATTGAAATAAATTATCAATAAAATTATAGATTATGACTTTTGTTTCATTTATTCAAACTCCCAAGCGAAATTAGAGAATTATCACTAAATAAATTCAAAGCCCTTGTTAAACGAAAATTAATCAACAAAGCCTTTTATAAATTTGAGGACTACTTAAATGATCCTAATCCTTGGGATTGAATTGCTCCAGTTCAAACAATTTGTATGACAATACTTGGCGATTAAAAAGAGTGGCGGAAAGTTTCTTGCCAGTTCTTCTTACCCGCTCTACGCCCTTGACTTGCGAACTGGTAGTAAATGTAAATTTATGATTAATTTAACTTGACGATTCAAAAGTGTACTTGGTTACCCACTTGAATAAAGATATTTTGAGTTTGAGTTTATTGTAACTAAGAGCAGTGTTGGCTTCAGTTTCGATCCCAATGTACTTTCCATTTAACATTCGCTCGAACGGTGAAAGAAAACGTCAGAAAACCGGCTTGCTTTGACCTAAAAAGTCGACATGATGCGGCACAGGAGGCTGATCACCGAATTGCCTATTAGATTGACAAAACATGAAACAGTTTTAGAAATCTGAGGCCCACTGATTTTATTAATAACTATACCTACTGCCTTATGTGTTATGGCGGCCATTCACGGGCTATCCATATGGCTTTCGCGCCACGGGCTCGATACCTGACGTCGCGCCGAGCCAAATTCATGCCATTCACGAACGCGCCGGAGAGCCGTTCTATTTGATCATTTTTAGTGTAGGCGTCGATTGCACCGGACGTGTTCATAATGAACTTCGATTCAGAAGATGAGTTTTATTTATCGACCATAGCGATTTGTCTAGTTTAAAAAAAAAAGAAAGCCAAAAATAAAGTGGTGTAAGGATTGGTTGCTGAAAAGATCGCAACTCACACACATAAATTTAATTAATTGAATTTTAATTTAATTTAATAAGGAATTGGCTTTGGAGCCAGCGGACTGGAGAAATTATATGCGAATGGATGACCCTACCTATTTTAAACTTTTGGAACTGGTGACTCCGCTGATTCAGAAAAAGTCCTCATGAACGACTTAGTGCCACTCTTCTATTCTTAGCTACGGGCATGTCATATGAGGAGTTGAAATTTCCTACACTTATGTCTCCACGTTTGGGAGTGATAATTCCTGATACATGTAAAGCTATTCTTTTTGCTCTTCAGGATTATATGAAAGTAAGTAAAAATAACTGTTATACGAGGGGAGGTCCAAAAGTTCGTGGAATGAAAGGGTTTTAGTAAAAATGAAACAGTAAATTTATTTTTCCTTTTCAATATAATCACCCTTAAGCTGAATACATTTATTAGATCTATGAATAAATTTTTCTAAACCATCGTAAAAATATTTTTTATCTTTTCCCTCAAAATGAGCCAAAATTGCCTCCTTTACCTCATTGTCGTCGGAAAATTTCCTTCCCCTTAAGTCTTTTTTTTAAATTGGGGAACAAATAAAAATCACTTGGGGCCAGATCTGGACTATAGGGTGGGTGGACTAGTGATTCGCCATGCGTGTGTAGAGCAGCCATTGCAACTTTGCTCTTGTGAACCGGCGCGTTGTCTTGCAAGAGCAACACACACCCTTGGTCAATTTTCCCCGACGTTTTTCTTTGATGGCATCCTTTAATTTTTCTAGTATTGTTGCGTAGTATTCTCCGGTTATGGTCCTGCCCTTTTCTTTATAATCAATCAGTATTATCCCCTCACAATCCCAAAAAACAGTAGCCGTCAACTTTCCAGCCGACTCCGACACTTTGAATTTCTTTGGCGGTGGTGTCCCCTTTTTATGCCATTGCATGGACTCTTGTTTGGACTCAGGCTCGAAGTGATGAACCCATGTTTCATCGCCGGTAACAATTCGCTCCAAAATCGATCCAGGATCGTCGCTACACAACTCCAAAAAATGTTTTGACGCTTCGACACGCTGCTGTTTTTGAAGCGGCGTGAGCATTCTCGGTACCCATCTTGCACTGACTTTTGTCATACCCAGGTGGTCATGTAGGATTCGCAAAATTGTGGTATCTGATACTCCAACTAATGCAGATAACTGTTTTTTCTTCAAACGGGTTTAAAAAGACCATGCCATTTGTAAATCATTGATTTACTAGGGCACTGTTCCCCGTAAACAGTTTCCATTTCATTCAAAATGGTCTGAGCGTTCTTTCCTTGCTTGGTAAGGAATTCAATGACACGCACGGTGTTCAATTTTCTCCATAGTTTCAGTTTTCTTCCGGATTGACGTGTTTAGCAGGCGAGTGTTCGTAAACGAATGACGCAATAGGGCTGAAACTCCATTTATATACTAATTATGAGTCCCCAATTAGTATGACACTAAGCGAGCGCCCCTATCCCCACTCCATCCCCTCCATTCCACGAACTTTTGGACCTCCCCTCGTATTTATGAATATTATTTATTAGAAAAATCAAGTTCCAATTTTTCAGTGAAATCAGCTAAACTATCATTATGTTGTGAACTTAACTGAGGTCCAGGTACAGTTGTTATTGGCACTGGATCAGTGACAATTCTGGACGTTACATTCAGATTAGAAAGGGCGCCATAATATAAAGCATCATTTATAATTTTTTCGCAATGTATTGCGACATTTGGCGGCAAGCTTCTCATTTTTTCAGCCACATGTTGACCAAAGCTTTCATATTTTTGTGGCTGTTTTTGTGGGGGTTGTCTCGGCTCGTAGAGTTTTTTTGCTATTTTAGTTAGCACAGCATCGGCCTGATTTTTTGTTCTCTTGTATGATGCTGATGTACTGCATGAAGACAGACTAGAACACGGTCGTGGTGACAATGGATCTAAATTCATGCTAGCATCAAATGAATTTTCATTCAGGTCACTCTCGAAATGAATCTGTAAATAAATAAGCGTGTTTTGTTACAGATGCCAGAATCTATAAGTGGTTGGAAATAAATAACCAGAAAATTTGAAGAAAGATGGCAATTTCCCAATTGCCTAGGATCCGTGGATGGAAAACACTGCCGTATAATACCTCCAAACGGAAGTGGGTCATTTTATTATAACAACAAAGGATTCCATAGCATAGTATTAATGGCTTGTGCAAATGCTGATTATGAATTCATTTGGTGCGAAGTAGGCGTGAATGGGAGGGTATCAGATGGTGGTGCCATAAAACAAACTCAATTTTACAAAAAACTTCACAGTAACAATCTTAACATACCAAGTAAAGAAAAATGTCAAAATAGTTCTGAACCGCTATCTTATGTTTTTGTTGGAGACGAGGCATTTGCATTGAGGCCTGATTTCATGAAGCCGTTCGCTAGAAATTCCCTTACAACCGAGAGGAAAATATTCAATCACAGGTTGTCAAGAGCCAGGAGATTAATAGAATACATATTTGGAATTATGTCTAATCGTTTTAGAATATTTCATACATCTATAAATTTACGTATAGATAGAATTGAACCTAGTGGTGTTGACTTGTTGCATTTTACATAACTTTTTGCGTAAATCAGACTTATTTGACATTGACGATACTACCATAGATGAGGTTTTACCAGCAACAGCATTTACAGCTTTGGAGGCAAGAAGCGGAAATACAAGTAACGATGCAAAATTAGTGAGAGATAGTTACGTTAGGTATTTTAATGGCGAGGGAAGTGTTAGTTGGCAAAATGCGCGAATTAATTAGTACAGTAGTAGTAGCTGTACGGTCGGCCACAAGGTAAGCAAGGTATTGAACGAATGAGGGGGACCTCATTCGTTCAATATCATTTACTAGTCTAGTCTAGAGTCTAGTTAATGTGAACGAGTACCTCTTCTGTATCTTCAAACGGGTCGACCAATATCGAATGATTAGATGAAGCCGCTCGGGGTGTTTCCGTGTGTTTGAGAAATATTAATTGGTCATAGTACCATAATTTTGGAACATGGATGTCATCTGTACCAGCTCCTGATTGCATTGATGCTTTAACCTGGAATAAATAAATGATGCATGTATTGTTTTCTTTTTAACCCTATTGTGATGGTATTTACGACGAGAAGTACACTGATTAAATTCCAACCTGTATATTGAATTATAATCAAAGGATTAATTTAAAATCCTTTTTTTTATTAATAATTGGATTATTGAAGTTATACTTCATTGGGCGCGTTATGAAAAATTTATGAGAGTGAAATTTTACGATGCGCGCGCACCTGAGACACAAAATTGTCAGTGTGATTATAGCGTGCGCGAGCAAGATGGGAATAAGACAATCTACAAGTAAATAGAAATAGAATATGCGTGAAGTTAGCAGCTATGCCAAGAATTTTGAATGAATATAATGACATTTACCTTTTAAACAAATAAAGGAGTTTATTATTTCTTCAAATTAATAGATTATATACCTAGTTATTTTCATTATACAAGTGCGAATTTTACTTTATTATTATCGAGTATTATTGTTGAGTAAAAGTGAAACATGAACGGTTATTCATTGCTTTTGTTTATTGCGTTTGTTACAGCAACTTTTTAGAAATATTCTACTACCCTATATATCAATAAGTGAGAACAAAGATTTATGCATGAATACTAATAAGGAGAAAATGAAGGCTTGCAGCGATATAACAGAGAAGAAAACATTTTAATAAGTACCTGCATCTCAAAAAAATGACCACATTATTTAATCAAAACATGTAATTTTTCAGATTTAATCTAGCAAATATAAGGACAAGAGACAAAAAACAATTGATGAATCAGTGGAAGTGCACTAAATTTAATAAAAAAAAAGAGTTGTCATCTTATCGCCGTGAAACATCAAAAACTGGAGGTGGAACAAAGCCACCATCACCTTCTCCAGACACAATGGACGTGGCATAGATGATCCCGCAACGGTTTGAAGTAGATTTCAATGAATTGTATTGTGATGGTGTCGAGGTAGAAATGTTAATTATAAATATGATGTATGGTGATGTTCAAGGTTCAACCTCTCAAGCATAAGCATATGCTCACAACAGTACTTTATTCCCCTACAGGGTAGTCAGAGATATTCTAATACCTCAAAACATACATGTTGCACTTGTAGTACCGAAACTCTGTCCAGCCAGAAGTGAGCCCATTCCAACTTATAGTGGACAGTGGGTATAATACACCTCAACACCTCAGTGGGAACCACTCACCATGATACTTAAATTAATAGATGTTATTAATATATTTCAGGATATTACAAATAAAATCATTTTGGAAACAATTGATATCCCAAAAGCAAATAAAGCCAACAATGACAAGGTAATAAATCAGTATTCAAGTTATGTCAACATAACTTGAATACTAGAAAAGCCAGAAAAAGGTGTGCACAACAGTGACAACATAACTTAACAATTTCATTATTTTGTAGGATTAAAGAAAGGTTAAAGAAAATCATGTCGAACTGAACAACCAGAATCCCCAAACAACTCCAAAGAAACCTACAAGGAAGACACCGGTATTATATTTAAATTATCTCTATCTCTAAATAAAATAAAAGAAAGTTGCTATCCAGGTCTGTAGCATGTGCTACAAATTATATTATTAACATCTTTATATAATTATATTAATATAAATGTGTTAATAATATAATTTGTATGGACAAGTTTTGCATGGACAGAGCTTAAATTAATATTCTCTTATTTGATGCAGAAAGCAAGTAGTAGCTTTAGTTTTGGAGAAGCCTCGTATCAATATATGCATAGATTTTGGGCTCTGGAAAATGAGCGACTTCAAATAAAACACAAACATAGAGTTAAGAATATGGCAGAAATGCACAACCAAGTAATGATTAATTTAAAATTATAAACTGAAATTCTGATGACGACATTAGAGTCACTTAAAAATAAATAGTATTATGAAATAAAAATGTTTTAAAGATAAATAGTGTTTTATTTGTTTAAATAACTTAATTGTTAAAACAACCTAAATTAAGAACTATCAAACTGAAAAGTTTTCATCAATAAAAATGGCTCTCACTGCTGCTCCATGCAGTGTATTTTGAGATGAGGGCACTGTTGGTAGTGAGGGCAGGGTCTCTTCATCATCATCAGAGATAGGTTCCTCTTTTAAATCAATGGCTATATTGTGCAATACTGCCAAAGCTACAACATACATCTTAGTTTTTGGTAGAGATGTTCTAAATATATTATACTAATAACTTAATAGAATTTATGTTACACTTAATGTAAGAGAATAATAATAAATATTTATTTATTTAATTTTTCAAATGTAAACTGAACTTTATTGACTTTAACGACTACTTTTCCAGTGTTTGATTATTTAATTGTAATTAATTATTTGCATCAAAAACTATTTTTAATAATGCCAAAGACGTATAACTTCTTACGCGCGTACATAAGTACATGCACCCTTTTTTTTGTATCCCACTCTCGGTCCGATATACTACGACTCATTGGTCTAGTGGTTAGTACCCCTGACGCCGAATCCATGCGTCCCGGGTTCGATCCCCGGCTGAGACGACCATCGATGTGATGAGCATTTGGTGTTATGCTTAGGTCTTGGGAGCTTAAATATGTATTTATGTGTACATATTATAGATAGATAGATATATAGATAGATAGATGGATAGATTACGAGACTAAAAATTCTAGTAAAAAACTTGCGATGCGAACGGTACAATACGGGCGCCATCGGGGAAGTGCAGGGGAAGCGGGCGGGAAGCCGCATTCCTAGGAGGTCCCAACTTATCGCGCACGTGTAATATATCCGTTGCCTAGTACCCATAACACAAGCTTCACCAGCTTAGCATGGAACTAGGTCAATTGGTGAGAATTGTCATTCAAAAAAAATAGTGTACCGCGTATTCAACAACGTAGTAGGTATGTCTAACGAATATGAACAGAAATACGAAGCAAAAATATTTAACCCCTCAACATTATTTCACTACACACAACATTAAATAATAAACAGCTAGGTTATAAGTACTTACTTTATTAAACTCTTTCCTGAATGAGGCTCTTAGTGCCTGAAGTTTCTTTTTTACTATTTGATTTGATTTATTAATTATTGTTACTTTTTTAACATTATTTCACTACACACAACATTAAATAATAAACAGCTAGGTTATAAGTACTTACTTTATTAAACTCTTTCCTGAATGAGGCTCTTAGTGCCTGAAGTTTCTTTTTTACTGTGTCAATAGTGGCGTCAGGCAATTTGGTTTTACAAAAACTTAGCAAAACCTCTAATGCAGCATCGCGTTTTTGTTTGTTGCGGTAATTTATATCTGTCACATCCCACAAACACGTCAGGTCTCTAAACTTATAAATAAATTGAATAACAAAGTCACGGTTAGAAAACATGGCGAAAACGATGTATATTAACAATGCGTCACGTGCTTCTCGTCCAACGGCTAAACGCAAACTAAAATCAAAATGGCGATTGGCGTGTCCCGCGTGTCTGGCTCGCGACTCGCGAGTAACACGGAACACCAATCACCATTCATGAGCGAGCATGGCACGACGGCTCAGACCGACCGGACCGTTGGTTTTCCATTTCTGCATTCACAAGCGCGTCGCCTGCGTATGTCGCGCCGGCGTTGCTTCGCGCGATGGATTTCGCGCAGTTGGAATTCCATCACGCCGAGCCAATCCATTTGGACCGACAGTGTTTTCACATTCATGGACGAATTTTGGATCGACAGCGTGCCAAATGGATTGATGGACCGCCCGTGAATGGCCGCCTTAAACGTGCACTTGAATTATCAACATAAAATAAGTAAAATTATCTGTTTCTCACATTTTTTAATTTTACATAAAATATCAATCCAAACCTTTTTTGCTGTAGTAGTTATTATTGGTTAAATGTAAACCAGATCGCGTGTTATTAAAAAGAAAACATTTATGGATTGTTTATTTTCACATGGATTTTCTAAAACGGACAGGAGGCTCAAAAAAAAAACACTAATCAAAAAATTTCAGTGTCAACTGTCAAAATCCACAACGAGTTGTGAGTGGACGCGTCTAATATAGCCGCAGTATATATTATTTCTCTATGTATAGCCGGCTTAGAGACTAGAGAGTAGAGACTAGAGTCTAGACTGAAGAGTGAAGACTCTAGGAGAGGCCAGCCGCCAGAGACCGAAGGCGGAGCCCTACATTTGTAAACAAACCTAATAATTAACAATTATTTTTACTAGTAGTAACTTACTACTATCTGTATTCTGTGGCCTATTCACATTAAAGGGTAATTATGAAATTAGAGTTTATTGTTTAAACTTAATTGAAGTGTCTCTTTAAACTTTTAGTCATTTAGTACTTTTGTTACATAAAACATCCTTTGATTTGACTGACTAATCATTATTAGACAACGATAATTGAAGTCGAGGATAGTAGTTATATCCTAAATGTTTAACATCACAATTGGTTGTACTTCTTTAAATTAAAATAATGTTTGTTCCAGATGGCTGATGTTAAGTCTTTGCTAAAAGAAGCAAGGAAACTTATAGATGAAAAAAGTTACAAAGATGCTCAGGAGACATGCAAAAATATTCTTAGAAAAGACAAACATAATTATTTAGCTCTTGTGTTACTAGGTAAATCGTTGCAAGATTCAGATCAGGCTCCGTTAGCATATCAAAAAGCAATTGCAAGCAAACCTGATTTTCCACTTGCATGGCAAGGATTAGCAAACTACTATGAAAGAAAAAGCGATAATAGCTCTGATAATAAACTATTAGATATCTATAGTGAAATTTTAAAACTCCCATTAGAAGAAGAAAAAGCATTAGAAATTATCACAAAGCTTGGCCAGTTGGGTTGTAAATTGAATGATAATAATGCATTATCTACGATTGTGAATTACATAGAAAAGTCATCAACTGAGAAACTTGTGAAAGCTGCTGAAGACGAATTACTTAAGCTTTTAAAAAATGGTATCCGGTGTAAAGATGGTGACATCACTTTCATTTTAAGTGTCCTTAATAAAAATGTTATAGTAAATACAGATATTCAAATTCATTATGCAAAAGTTATCTTACAAAAACCAGATTTTGCATCTGCAGTAGAAGAAGTTATTAATTTAGAGTTTTTCTCAAAAAATGTCAGTCTCAGAGAATGGCTATGTAAAGAGTTGTGTTCTTTTTATATACACGAAAATTCCTTCAAAAACTTTGACATTGAAAAACATATTAACTTAATTGTTCAAGGAGTTGAAAATTCTAAATATCCAGCATTATTAAAAAGCATGCTGTATTATGAAAAGGGACTTTATGTAGAAGCTTATAGACTATCTGTTCCTTTAATAAATTATCAAATCGTAGATGAAGTTGAAGCCACATTCATAATAAGATGTACTATAATGTTAAATAAATGGCCAGTTGCCCAAAAACTTGCTACAAATTTTTTAATGAAAGTCAAGGAGCCTGCATTTGAGGCAATTTTAAAAAAGTTCTTATTTCTATCCCTCTATGAGCAACAAAAATGGAAACAGGCAATGTCTGTGGGAAATGAGATTTCATTAGATGCATTATCTGAAAAGGAACAAGCTGCTTTAGTAAAATGCTATATTGAAAGTAATGAACAGACACAAGATATTGTGGATAACCTTCAAAATACTGAATATTTTGCCCAACTTAAAGCTCTCTCAAATATGAAACAAGGAAAATTTGAAAACGCTGTTGCTTTATTAGAGCAGGATTCATCAGAAAATCCACTTAATTTATTTTATTTAGGAAAATGCTATTGGGCATTAAATCAATATGAGAAATGCTTATTGAATTTATTAAAATCTGCAAAGATAAATGCAGAACATGCTGATACATTTTTATATTTAGGTCATTATTACAATAATTACAAACAAGATTTTAACAAGGCTAAAAAGTGCTATGAAAAAGCACACAGTTTAAACAATACTGAAGAGGAAATAGTGAAAAGCCTGAATTATGTGTATTGTAAACTAGATCTTAAGGATTTAGATTTTGAATTATTGAGAGCAAACCAAGATTCATGTGGAGAGTGGGTCAATTTTAGGCTTGGTCTTCATTATTTAAATAAAAGGGAGTGGGAAAATGCTATATTACAATTCAGAAATGTTATCAAAAGTAATAAAACTCATGTTATGGCATTTGAATGCTTAGCGGATGCCTACTACTCAAGGGGTTCATATACATCATCTTTGAAAGCATATAAAAAAGTTATTTCTATGGATAAAAGTCGAAAAAATCATTGTTTGACTAGAATTGGTTATATTCATTGTTTACTAACAGAGTATGAAGAGGCCATTGCTACATTTGCTGAAGTCATCGAAAGAGATCCTTGTTCAATTTTAGCATTAAAAGGCCTGGCAGAAACATGGATTAAAGTGGCTAAGAAAAAGGCATCTTTTAAGTTATATGGGGCTGCACAAAATTCTGCTCAGTATGCTATTGATTATATCTCAAAAGGTATATGTATAGCCAAGCAATATGTATGTTTTTGGAATTTGTTGGCAAGTGCATTGATTTTTATAACTACACTACCAGACACATATTCATATGTGTACCTTAAAAGTGCATATGATGAAGAAAGCAATATTTCTAGAAAGGACAAATTAGATATATTCCCACAAGCTCTTGCCTGCTTCTCTAGGGTTGCTAAACTAAACAACCTGAATTGTTCATATGATTTAGCAGTAACTTATCTTGTATTTTATCATGCATCACGGTCAAAGACACATTTGCAAATTTCATATAAATTAGCTTTAGCTTGCATTAACTTAAAACCTTCATCTTGGCGAAATTGGAATTTACTTGCAAAAGTATGTGTTTTAATGAAGAAATTCAATATAGCCCAACATTGTTTTATAAAAGCATTATTAGTTACTAGAAAGTGGTCTGTAGCTAAAGTCTGGTGCAATTTAGGCACTTTGTATATCAAGGTTAAATTGTATAAATTAGCAAATTATTGCTTTTGGCGTGGACAATCAACTTTGCCATCGTATCCCCAAAGCTGGATAGGTCAAGGATTGATTGCAGAAACAATTAGAGAAGAAGAGGCTATGGATCTATTTAGACATGCATCCAGACTTGGTTACCATCCTCAAAGTGCTCTTGGGTATGCAGACTGGGTTTGTAGAACTCTTAAAAATATTAACTACCCAGATAACCGGGAATTGTGTTATATCATAGATGGATTGTATGCTATTACATATAGTATAGATCTTATGGAATGGTTTTTAACCTATGAACCTGAAAATGCTTGTGCCTTAAATATTATTGGCATTTTACAAGAGAGAATTGGGCTTCTCCAAGTAGCACTGGAGTATTACAAAAAATCATTGAAATTCAGTGAAGAAGATAAACAGAACCTTATTAAATTAAATATTGCTAGGCTTTTGAATAGACTTGAAAAATATGATGAGGCAATTACTACTTACCAAAGTATTACAGAAGCTAGTCTGGATTCTACTTGTGGCTTAGCTTTGGCATTATATAAAAAAGGTTTATTTGAAGAGTCCTATGCAGCCTATGATACGGCTTTACATTGGTTAAGTAATAATGATGATGAAAAATCTGATCTTTTAGTTGCAATGGCGGGTATTATTTACATGCACAAAGGAATTGACGATGCCAAGACAATACTATTTCACAGCATTCAAGTTTCACAGAAGAAACCTACTCCATTCAGTCTCTTTGCCATTTGTTCTTTGGGAATATTACATTCTGACCAAAGCCTATCTAAGCTGGCTTTAGGTGAACTGCAAAAATACGAAAGAGACAGTAAATTCGGATATGATATTGGATTCCTAAAGTCTTACCTAATATTTTTAAATGATATTGATCATGCGATAAAAATAATAAGTGACTCTATCCACGATCATCCAAGTGATGCTAAATTATGGTACTCTATGGCACAATATTGTTTACAGTCACCAAACAATAAATCTACAGTTGCTAGTAGCTGTGCTCAGAGAGCAATTTGCTTGATACATAACAATTACTCAGAATTTAATATAAGTAAAATGTTGGCAACTGCTAGTGTTGCTGAAAACCTATCTGGGAACACTGGAAAGGCATTAATTTTAGCAAAGAAGGGTTTACATTTATATCCATGCCAAACAGAAATATGGGCAGCAACATTGTTTTCAATATTGCAGACAAAATATGATAAAAATTGGATCTTTGCTGCATCAAACCATATGAGAAAAAATTTAGATGCAACACGTCCAATGACAAGATGGCTGAATCTACTTGAAAAGAAGTTAGGAAAGTAATAATAAACATCTAACATTATAAAATATAAAACAATGAACTTCAGTTGTTGGTTATAAATAAAATAATTAATTTTTCTAACAAACTTTATTGAATAAATTAAATCATTTAGTTGTAATTTTAAACTTATCACCAACCCTTCTAAAAACTGCAAGAAATTTTTCACCATTATTTCTAGACACCTTTTGACCCTCTTCTGTACTTTCAAAAAGTTTCTCTACAATTTTATCTTCTTTCTAAAACAACAGATAAAGCTCAAGTTAATAATATACTAATTAATAACCTTTAATTCAAAATCTAAAACATGCTTACCAGTTCCTTATCAGAAATTCTTTCAAATAATTCATGTTCCTCAAAATGCTTAACCATCCATTCATGTAGATCTTTTACATCAGTTATAGTATACACAGTACCCTAAAAAAATAGTTCTTAGTGCACACCACAAACACCAAAATGTAAATGAAGATGACCTAACATATTTTTTATTTTCCAAAACTTATGAAAAGACAACCATTGCCATAATTATTAAAAAATAAAAAGATGTTAAACAGTTTAAAAACAAATTTACTAAAATATCTTAACTAAATACCTGTTCAGCTAAAACATATGCATATTCTGAAAGTAGCCACTTGTTAATTACTCTCCATTTATGTTTTGATTTCTTAAAGTGAGGATCTGGGTAGAGGAAAAACATTTTTTTTATCTGAAAGCAAGTTTAAAATTTAGCTAGAAAATCTTTACCTTAATAATTGGATAAATAAATAAGGATATATCTACAAATTTATATTCTGTATAGTAACTAATCAAACACTAAGAGCAGTGGCTCAAGCTTGTGCATTTGATTCATGACCATGCACCAATGCATTTTGTTATTTTAAATGTGCATTTAACACATGCTTATATGGCAAGGCATGAAGGCAAACATTGCCAGGAAACAAGCATGTCTATAGAAAATATAATTATCAAGAACCAGATGCAATTTGAGGACAAGTATAAGATTGCAACATCATCTATGGTCTTGTATCATGTTTGTGTGTGATGTCTTCTTATATACCTTTATATAGAAATATGATAGTAAGAGGAGGAATCGATAGTGGCAAGCACTTTGTACAATATAAACAGTTGGGAGACTACCATACCTGACCCTTATGGAAGAAATTAGGTAAATATTTCATAGCATTTGTTCGTAAAACAGCAATATTTTGGAACTTTTCTGGATTTTGTGTTCTAAGAGCTTGAATTCTGTCATTTACATAATCTGATACTTTTACTCTTATTTCTAAGCCCAATATCAGACTTTTCTCAAACATTGGAGAAAGTGTTACTGTAAAAATGAGATATGACTATATTATTTATCGAAAGACAAGAAAGACCAAATTTTATCATCAGTGTAGTAAATTATACCCACCTAAAAGACCTCCATAACCACAACCAACATCTAAAAATTCAACTAGCTTGTTATTCAAACCGTTATTTAAATCAGGATATAACTCTGACCAATCGTATTCGTCAGGCTTTGAAGGGCTGCAAGTTTAACACTATTTCATTACATTAAAACCATTTCATTTACAACATATAAATAAGTTATTGAACTTAACCTACTATTCAAAACAATGATCTGCCATCGGGTTAGAGTGTGCTCGTTGGCGATAGTATTTTTTTTGAGGAAGAGCCATTTTGCTGTTAGTTAAAACGTTAGTTGTTGGCTCGAAACTAGAATATAAGTTAATCTTGAATTATTATAAAATATTACAATAACAAAACATGATGACAGCCCATGCTTGAATAATTTTGAACGTTTTCGGTTTTTCACGTTTGCACAGACCAGCTATCTAGATCAAAGATGTATCGAAGTTTAATGTTACTTTGACATAACTTATTTATCAATTTGACAGATACTGTGGCGTTGACAATTTGAAAAAATCATGGAGATTTTCGTATTCATTAACCATTTCTGCCATTGTATTAGTTAAATATTTACTAATGATTTGTTTTTGAGTTTATCGTTATAAACTCCAGTGTTGCGTGGTGTTTTTAACGTGTGAGATGTGAAAATGTTAATAGAGCGAATTATAAATCATAATTTAATACAGCAAACCAATACATAAAAAGCTTTAATAGTGTTATGTGATGTATATCAATTAAAATCAATGCTATAAATCTTTATTACTGGTAAGTAATTACCTCAATCCTTTAATATAATAAGCATATTTATAAATCTGGTATTTAGCATACTATGTAGAAGTTTAAATATATTTCTTGAACATACATAATAGAAATCAAAGAGGTGCCCAGATTAGTCAAACATTCATAAATAAAAATGTCAAAATAAACTTGAGTTGGTGACTTCATCAGTAACTCTGCTTTAGTTTTATATCAATTTAAAAGTGAACTTGTTTTCAGCTTTAAAAAATGTTCATAATTTTAGGAATAGATATAATAAATAACAAATGATAGGTCATTTGCACAAATAGTATAGAAACATAAATGCCATTCTGGTATAATTGCAAGTTTATGTACTCATAAGTAGTGAAGAAATTTTCTAAGATCATACTGAAACTTTTTGGAAAGAAAACTTTAAAACACTTGTTAAACCAGGGAAAACAAAAAAACTGTAACATTATCCACATTCAATAGTGTTCTTCTCTTTAGCAGTACATACTGCTTGATTCTGACGATTGTTTAATGTATATTTTTACAGGAAACTTGTACTAGTACCTCATTTTTAATTTCTAAATGATTTAAAATTAATTGTAACTGAAGTTTAGGTTTAAAATATGTGTCACATTGGTGGGATTTTCAGTTTTTCCTTTAGTAGGAAAATCTTTATATAATTTAAGAATTCTAAATTGTAAACAGTAATTTGAAAGGATTAAAATTCAGCAATCACAAACATACTAAAGTTAGTTGAAAATTCTCTACTAGGATTTTTTATATGTAATGTCTCACTTGTAGTCTCTTAACGAGTGATTATTTTGACGTGGGCGCTTATCCACGTGCACTCGTCACTTCGTCGGTTTAGGTTTGTCATCAGTCTACAAGCGGCGTCAACCGCGACACACGCCCGTCACTCAAAGGCTATCTAACCCTGTGTTATCATTTAGCAGAATTCTCGATACCCAACCGCTATTGTTTTGTGTTCCGTTTTATTAGTGATATAAACATGAAGAAAGCGGACTCCAACGCGAGCATAAAAAGGGGTTCGAGGTCAGCACGGTTCACAGACAGTATATCCTCGTCTGATGAACCGGAAACGGAGAGGTTACTAAGCCTGAAGCAACCCACGGTGGTAGCATCAGGGGCACGGCGGGAATCCCTTACAGCACCACCGTCCCCCACTGACTACGCCAAGAAGCGCGACAATCCTCGCCATCACAATTACATGAACCATCTGCATCATCTCATTCACTGGAGAGATAAATGGAGTGGTGAACCTCATAGAGCACACGAGGTACAGAGGTTAAGGCAATTTATTATTAAGCCCTGGTGAAACAAGCATGATTATTGTATGTACAATCGTTGTTTACCTTTAATCGTAAACGCTCCTATACTTCCATTACACGCGAATACCACATATTGTATATTAAGATTGTTTAATACTTTTCATACAATATTATCAAAACTGGTGAGAGCTTTACTTAAACAAGTTTTTGTACTAGTCTTTAACCTTCGTTTGGCTAAAAAGGCACCGTATTCGCGAACTTATCGTTTTTTATATTCAATATTAAATTTCTATCGATTTTACTAACATCACAAAGAATACATATTATTTATTTTATGGTTTTGTAAATTTAAAGAACCAAATACGACGTGACGTGACCGTGGCCGTAATCATAAGGTAAAAACATAATCGAATGAGAACATGACGACGAACGAAGGTCGTATATCTAACCCAATGCAATTAAATACAAAAACATTATTCTATAAACCGCCAAAAATTTCATTGAAAGGAAATATTATAGCTCTCTTTTTTGTAATTTATATAAGTCGCTTAATATTTTGATTCGCACATACATTATTTGCGAATCACTCGCTAGGATTTTGAATTTAAAAATAGGTAAAAAAACGTCTTAAGGTTATTTAGTATGTCTATTATACTATATAAAATTCTCGTGTCACAATGTTCGTTCCCATACTCCTCCGAAACGGCTCCACGGATTCTTATGATTTTTTTTATGCATATTCAGTAAGCCTGAGAATCGGCTACTAAGTATCTATATTTCAAACCCCTTAGTAATTAGGGGTGTACACCACATTTTTTATTATGTGGCATTAAATAATACTGTATACAACCCTTAATTTTCATCCCTCTATGACTAACCCCTACTTTTTATTATAGTAGATAGTTATTTTTATTGAACTAAAAAATGTTTCCTAGAAATAATATACTGTATGGCAAAACAACGCTTGCCGGGTGGGTCAGCTAGTATATCTATATTAAAATATTATTATAAGCGGCTAAAGAGCCTTATTGGCTGTAAAATTTACTTATAATGTTTTTGCGTTATATTATGCACAAACAACCTTTTGTTCTTGAATTCTAATAAATAAATATGTTTATCTATTCCGTCCATCCTCCAATGTTACGATTGCATGCGCATTGATAAATTATGATGACAACATAAACTTCACAACACATTTGCGTCTCTGCTATTTAATCCAGACAATTGACTTTATAAACATTCCAAGAACCGACCAGTAGAGTTTAATAGGCAATGACGCATTGAGCTAACCAGCCTCAATGTCCTTTTCACTGCTTCTCTTTACCGGTAGATTGTCTCTCTATCACCAAACATTCTTTAAAATGAGTTACGAAGGTTCGATGATAAGCAAAATAAAATTGGATGGTAATGAAAAAATTGTGCTATAAAATTTATATGGGTTAAATTTGAGAATTTCTTCTCAAATTCAGAATCGAGATGGATAGACTCCAAAAATGTATTGGATTTTGATACACGAGAGCCATAGTTGCGCATTATCTTCATAACCGTATAACAACAGGTGGTAGAAATTATATAAATTAATGTTATTGTATTTAAAATAATGTCTGAAACTGACCTCATTCAGTTTGCAAGGCTCTTAGCAAAAACTCTTTTGTTCTTATCAAAGGTCACGCCAATAATAAAGATAGGCTTGTAAAATTCTATTAAAATCTTTTCATTTAACTAATTAAAGTATATAAGTCGTTATTGTTCATTAGAATACCTTGTACAAATGTTGATTTTCTTATCTGTCACTTTATAACAGGAAAAATCTTAAGGAAACATGATTATCACAAAGTTTGTACGTGTTTCTTTGTGAAAATTTTGATCTTTATTTGTCGTTTTAATTTGTAATATGCGTAGCAATGAATTCACTTGATATTTCAATTCGATTAGTAGTCAAGGATACAACGTCACGTTTGTTATCAATTCCACTAATTTCTTTTGTAACCTTGCTTCGGCTCACACCCTTAACGATAGCCAATCGACCCAATCTATGTTCTAATTAGGAATATACCTTTCTATATAAACTCAAATTCTGAAAAAAAGAAAGAAAAAACTTTATTGAACACAATAAAAAAGATATTTAGGTAAAAAGAAAGTGTACCTAACCTAGCCCTCACACTAGGATTCCCTGTGTTGTGTCGACAATAATTTCTACATAACACATTTTATAATTAAACTATTGTTGCACAATAAGAATATATTCTGTTTCAGCATAGGACAGGTTGAAATGTGGATTAAGATTGTTAGTGAAAGTTTTGAATCGTTAGAGAAAATTTTGTTTTTAAGAAAATGGATAAAGATGAAAGGGCCTCTAAAGGAGAGAGAAAAAGCGTTGGGCGAAGAAAGTGCGTTTTTTGGGTTGCTTATTATGTAGGTTTGCGCTGTGTATGATGTGGTGTGGCCGGTTTTTTTCCAAAAAAGTCTCATTATTAACCGTTAAGTTTTGTTTCATTGCACAATTTTGAAGTTGAGTAGCGATTATGAAACTATTGTGTGTTGATTGTGAACTAATTCAGGAATTACTATCAGTACCATTTACGTGGTAAGGCCACGTTGCTGTTTATTAATGCCGTTGATAAAATTACCTGGGTGTAAGAATGTAAAGAAGATGGTTGATTGTGATTAGAAAAACGGACGTATTATCACGACATCGTGTCGCATGTCAACACGTCTGGAGAAGCTGTTGACCAATCACAGTTAAACGGGACGCGAGAACGTTACGTCTTACGATATCCTCTTGGGTGTTTATTTTTCTCTTTAATATTGCTTAAACTTTTACACAAAAACACCAAAATTAACACTAAGAGGATTCAGCTTTGTGCCTGAAGGTACACCACAGGCCAAATTTTAAAGTTAAAAAATACAATTAATACAAAAACGAAATGAAACATTACAACACAAGAGAAAAAAACTTTTTAATACCTAAATCTACTATCTATCACTGGCGTAACTATACCATCTGGGGCCCGTGGCAAATTCTTTTGATGTGGCCCTATCAGTAAAAATCGTCAAGTTGTACTCAGTTTAATATTAATAAACTTCGAGATTTTCAGCGTAGGTACTCAATTACACGTTGTATATGTCCCAGTAATGGCCATAGGCCTCGTCTCGGCTCTCGTCGAGAGGGAATGGTCTGTAGTCCCCACGCTAGCCCAATGCGTATTGGAGTCTTCAAATTCATCCATAGAACATAATATCTCTTGGGCAGGGGCCCTCTTGGGGCCTCAGGGGCCATCACAACTTGAGTAGCGCTCCGCGGCTATATTTAGATCTATGGATACGAATATAAAACGTTTGAAAATGAGTGTAATATTCATAATACGTGGAAAATAGATCCGTCGAGTTAATTAGTATTTCCAACCAATTTCTCTTCAGTCGGCAGCTCATGTCTGAGCGCCGTGGTCAGTACAATCTGTTTTCACCGGTTTCTGTCCAGCGCCTCTCTTATAACAGTGTATAGTTTTGAGGTCGAAGTCTTTCACTTGATCAGTCCATCGTGTTGGCTGGCCACGTGATCTTTTACATTCTGTGCTACCGACCACGATCAGTTTGTCCAAGTTCTCATCACGTCTGCGTATTGTATAGCCGATATGAGACGTATAATTATGTCGGTATAAACAACCAATAATAAAAATCAGTAAAGTACCTAATAAATAAACAATTCTAATCTTTGTATGATATGCGGAAATTATTAATAATCTTTATCTTGGATTCGTATTGCAATTGTACTGATACAGTTTTTTATAACATGATAGGCATTCACCCGTGACCTTGCTATAAAGCATGATAATCAGAATAATTAATACAGTTATATGCAATACTAGTAGTAATTGTTACGAGACGTAGATTATTATAGGGCCTTTTGAACATTTTGTATGCGAATTTAACGCCCGGTCGTAAATAAAATGATCGGCGGAAAAATCTTGAATGCAATTATTTATTTTGTTGCACCTAACTTTGATATATAATAAAAATAGAAATGTCTGAATTGCAACATGCCTAATAGTACGGGAGGTAGCAACGTTTTCGAGAAAGAATTTCAGGTCAGCTGATTTTGTGATATGTCTTCCATACTACAATAATGTCTGGCAAATTCATTTTTAGTTTTTCTTATATTTAAATAACATAATATTAAAATTACAGACATTCTAAAATACTTTGAAATTTTTATAAAAAAAAAACTTAAAATCGCGTCTGGCACATAGTTAGCAATGTGAAAAATGTCTGGCAATAAAAAAAGTATGTCAGGTAGACTTATTTAAAAACGAAAAATTAAAAATTACGCTTCTTAAAATGCTTTTAAAATCCAGGATTATTACCTGGACAGATAGGATGCGCACTAATGAACGCAACCGCTACCGCCAGCCAGATTGCCCAGACTCTAACCGAAAGTGCAAGAAGGAAGACAGCTGACCTAAAATTCTTTCTTTTCAAACGTTGCTACCTCCCGTACTATAATGATAAGCGTTTTCTAGAAAGTAATATTCAATCCCATCTTCGCCTTAATATCAACTACGTTGTCTTGATTGCATTATTCCGGTAAACAATTTAAATATAAATGTTTTGTCTGGTAAACAAGTTTCTCAGCCAAGTTCAGGTTTACCATTAATGGTTCATGTAAATTATATTAAATCGGTGATAAAAGCCAAATGCTATATTTGGGTATATTAGCATACCTAGTAGAAACGTCTATTGACAATAAGTGTTCGATCGATGTCTGAAGTTATTGTCGAAAGCAACAACAACTTTACAACCGTCTTTCACGAAAATTTATTTAAATATCGTCAACTTTTGGGGTTGAGACATGCCGTGATTCGAACGTATGATCCCACGTTGAGAGTCAAACTAAGTGACTCTCAACGTGGGATCTTAGGCCCAAACTACTTATTTTGTATAAGATAATATTATAAAGTTAACTAAAGATTAAGTCTTGATAGACACGGTTGAAAGAGAGGAGCAGTCTCGATGGAGATTTTGCTTTCAACGCCTAACAGCTCTCAAC